GGATTTCCATGATAGCTGCTGCAGTGGTCACAGAATGAGAATGTTAGAATTCAGATGCAGAAGAAGCTGTGAACTGAAGAAAAGGCAGAATTTCTCTGTCAGGAAGCGAAATGTAAAATAGTGATTAAGAAAAAAGTATTTTCTGGAAGCTGACGCTGCGATTTTGTAATGTCTGTGAGGCTTTTCCAACAGTCAGTCAAACATCACAAGTACAGCTTTTGAACAAACTCATGATGTGGACGCTGCCACTGAGGCCTGGAACCAGATGCCCCAGGACACCTGAATGACTGGAAAACCTGACGGAGGTTGTTTTGTGTTGGAAACATTCTTCCCCTTATTATTAGAATAGTACAGAGCCCCGATAGGGCACAGTGGGGCGTCTTCCTATTGTTAAATTAACTCGCAGTAGCTTTTTTGCTTGTGTCTAGACTGAGAGTCAGCGCGCCCTGAGCTGTGGCTGTCAGGCACACATTTGAAGCCTAGTGTTTAGAAAGGTAAGAGCAGCAGCTTCAGCAGCTCTCCGACTGAACCGGTCGCTGCTCGGACGGACTGTAGCCGTAGATGTGACTGCAGGCTGTGGTTTGATTGTTGTAATTACGGCTGAGACACACTCAGTTTATCAGCGTAATGTTGACGACGTGCAGTGGAGCTGGCCTCAGCATTGTACTGGAGCTGCTGTATTCCTCCAGCTCCTGTGGTGTGTTGGAAGAACATCGATAAGAGAAGCACGGCGGGTTGAGACGGTACCAGCTGGACACATCCATAGCAGCACAGATCGCTATGGATACGTCCAGCAGCCAGAGTCTGAACCATGATCACATGGAGCCACAGCGTTTTATTAACGAGCACAAAGTTCATCACAGAAACGTCACATCAGCACTTCTTTGTAGCATCTGCACCGTGTTCCCCTGTGGGTCGTAACGGGACTGGACCAGCACCAACTGTTCATATGGATCAGAAGGAATCCAGAAAAACAGCAAAAAGATCCTGTGAGCATTCGGGGCTGTACCTCTGACTTACAGCGATGAGACGGGACAGATGTGTGCAGCTGACCTCCTGTGTGATGACCATGTGGTGTCATCTAAACATGTGTCACCTGAATCTTCTCCATCAGCCTGAGTCTATAACATGAAGTTTACCTCCAACTGTTTTGCTGTGTTTTCATACTTGGTGTCTCCAGCTTTTAGAGAATGTGTCAGCACATCATAGGCAGCCTCATCTAACACGCTTGTGAGTTATTATCTAATGGTTAGTTCATTATTTCACATAGTTATATTTCTGTCCTGTTCTGAGCTTTTCTTTCCTTATGGTTCTATTTGTGTTCTTTCTTGAGGTGAACAGTTTTCTTCTAGGCAATAAAGACCCGATGGGACCCATAAAGTCATTCTGTATTTACTTGACCCTGTGTTTCAGTGAAGACCCTCCTCTTTATTGTCTCTCATGTTCTAGGCTAGTCAAGAAGCTTTTAACAGAGGAGACAGGGCTGGTCCCGTCCAGTATACTGCACACAGCATCTGAAGGAGGTCACTCAATACGTAACAACACTGCTACTCCTCACTAACCTCTGGCAGCCTTGCTCTAACACACTCACTCACCTCTTCCTGCCTCCCTCCCCTTCACTCCGACTTCATCACTTGCTCCCTCACTCCCCAGTGGTAGTTGCACCAGGAGCCGAGGGACTGGGTGGGCGAGGGAGGGACGGGATGGAGGAGCTTTGACTGGCTGAGCTGAACGTCCACATCTCTGACTGCAGCACGTTCATCTCTCTCCCTCTCTGTCTGTTACAGATGCATTGGAGGGACTAAAGTTTCTTGTTTCAGTGGCATAAGGGTACAGAGAGTATATATCTAACTTTACCAAATCAGGGCCACAGAAGGCCTGTGGTGGAGCATCACAGTGGGGGTAGTTGATTTGAAGTTCCTGCTTCATGATGAGAGAAATGAATGATTTCCTGGCACAACTATGACTTACTGTTATGTGCTCAGCTGCAAGGCTGTCATTGGCTTCTTCTTCATTGTGAAGGTGGCTGAAGGCCATGTCATGATCTCCACATCCCCATGCACTCACCGATGCAGACTGTGAGAGTGGAAGTGCACGCAGCTATTCATGCAGCCAGTATGCTATGCAGGCACTCACACTGCCACGGATGTTTCTGAAAGGCTGTGACTGTCAGTGTTTGCAGGACATAGCAGCAGGTTCCAGGCCGGCTGTTGCATCGTAGCAGTGATTACGCTGAGCAGTGCCGAGCACAGTGGATGGACACAGCACAGGGTTTCCCACCATGTCAAAATCAAAGTTCACCAGCCACGGCTTGAACGACAACTTTTTTATTTGATAATTAGAATAAAATGGATGATGGAGAGTCTCCTCACACAGCCTCTGCACATAACCAGCATTTGTTTGAGGCGCTATTTGTTTTCCTGGCACATGCTCAGTCAGCATGCTCCCTCCCTGTGTGCACCGTCCATGTGCTGCTCACATCTGCAGAGGGGTCCGTGTAGACCCTCGTAGACTTGGATGACAAAACTTGTGTTACGCGGTGCCCTGCAGATCCTTGTGCACCACAGAGAGCATCAGTTGACCTCTAGGATCGTGGGCATCACAGTATTTGGAGCCAACAGCTACAACATGCTGAAAAACATCATTTCGTAGGAATTTTTCTACCAATTAGGAGCGATGACGACACATAAACCTAAAGTATGACTAACCAGCAACGTAACTTCTCATGTTAGCTTGAACACGATCTTTCACAAAATGAAAAAATACGCCGAGCCTCGACACAGCAGCAGTTTGCTGTATTCATGTCAGAGTTACTGTAGTTACCAGCTTTTAAGTTTCCAGTAGTGCTTATGTCAGCATGTCATCGTTACCACAGATATATCCAGCTTCTATGTTAGTAAATGCTAATATATGTGGTGTTCATACAAACTCATAAAGCAGTGACTACATCAGTGTAAAGCTTCCTACAGCTCGTAGCACAAGTTATAGTAGACGAGTAGTGACATTATGTTGTCTTCCATTTGGGGTACAAACACAGATTTCGAGGGGATGATGCAGTGGATACGATACACATATACATATACATATATATATAACATTACTAACAGATGCAACAGTGCCTTCATGGTTGAGAGTCTTTCATCGGTTAAGTTCTTTTTATTTTAACTCTGAAACATGTAAAAATGAGCTGTGAGCTCACACAGCTGGTGAATGAATTGTGGGAAACATAATTCAACCCATAAACATCTCATTATGTTTAGAATGCTGTGTTTCCATTTACATTAATTAAGACATTTCCACCACAGATCGATGCAGAAAACACACAAATGGATGCATAAAAGATCACTTATATTATCTAAACTATCTAAGAGGTGTGTTTCTGTTGAGGAACAGTAACATGATCAGAGAGATTAAGACTGGAGAGAAAACATCTGGAACCACGACTCCTGTCACTTCATAGCTTTAGCATCAGTCCGAACTTCTATGAAACGTGAGCTCACAGTTTGTTTTTGTGCAGTTCTGTGTTGTTGGTTCATAATGACGCCACTCTGTTCCAACACTCCTGGGTTCTGGGTTCTTCTCTGTCTCAGCCCACTTCAGCGTCCCCTCTATCCTCGCTCCATCTCTCCACCTCCTCCTCATGCCAGCTTGAAGGCTGCTCCTTCAGTGTTTGCCGTGGCCTCGCCTGTTTTGTTTCGATGCTCTGCCTCTTCAGAACAACGAGCGCTTTCTTCTCCTCACGTCTCCTCCTTTCCCTTTCCTTTCATCACATTCCCCTTTTGTTTCTGATTTGCTGTTTTTCTCCCCATACTCGAGGCAAACAGACCTCCATGCTCGAGCCGTTGACCTTCAGTGTTTTGGTTAAGTGGAACCATTTACAACCAGCCTTCTCCTCCACCTGCCTGTGTTGATCGGCCCGTCTGCCTTCCCTATAATCCTGTATGCACCGTACTGGCTGATGTTTTTTGCAGATGTTGGACATGCTCACTGTTACGCTTCCTTGTTTTGAACTCTCTTTCTTTAAAGCTTACATGTTTGGTTCATGTTTTTATTTTAATCAGCACTGCAGTCCGGGCTGTGCATCCCCATTCTAAAGCCTGTGTTTGAATGCAACCTTCGTCCTCCTCGCCTGTTTGTGGTCACCCTGAGGCTGACTTGAATCTCTCTTGTTTTTCCAGATATCTTCAGTGACCTGTGTACAGCGGCGCTCTCGGACTCTGATGAAAATGAAGCCAGTACGTGGGGAGACGTGTCTCAGGACAGCTAATGAACATGGCTGACTATCAGAGCTCATCACATCAGACTGCAGACCTTTTCTTTTTGTCGGATCTCAAACATGGCTGTTAGCCGTCGCTGTAGTTTTTCAACTGTAATTTCTAAGCTGGACGACTACAAGTTTTCTACTCGTAGTTCTTCTTGATGGACTGCAAATATGACCTGCAATTGTTTAATCGACTGTAGTTTTTCATGTTCGGCTCACTGAGGTTTGTCAGTGAAGCGTCCGGACGAAGCTGGAACATCCACACGTCTGAGCGCCATCGTGGGGAAGCCATAGCAGGAGGCACCAGCTGTTGTCTGTGGGGAACTGAAGACTGCACAGATGTGAAAACTGAACTTTACATCCAAAACTACGCCTACGTACTGTAGAAAATGCTGGATACCTAAAAATTCAAATCCCTGTTCTGATCTGGACGACCTGGGGAGTACTGGGTGATAAATTCCATGTGCTGGTTGCAAACAGGCCTTTGGCAATGTGCCATGTTTTGCTGCTAACCTGCACGAAAGCAGAACTTCTTCAGACCAGATTCTGGTCCTCTGTCGCCCCGTTTTAGCTGCTTCAGCTTTTCAGGTTCAAACTACAGACACCTCACAGTAGCTGCTAGAGGTCGTCCTGTTTGCTTTTCTTCGTGCGGGTAGAGCATAAATTCATTACATCAGATACAATAACTTCAGGAAGTTTTCAGACTCCTTCTGTTTTTGCACACTGTCCTGCTGATAGATGAACAGCCAGCCTCAGGTTTCTTTCTCTCTGCATTTGACTGCATTCTGTCTCCATTCAGTTCTGTGATTCCCTGTGTCCCTGTAGCATGATGCTGCCACCACCGTGTTCACTCCAGGGATGGTGTTCGCCACACGATGAGTGCCTGCTGTTCACCAGATGCAGTGCTCGGACTTCTGCCCAGAGAGTTTAGTTTTTGCCTCATCAGAGAATTTATTTTCCTTTTGCTCTGTGAGTCATTTAAATGCAGTTTAGTGAAGTCCAGACAGGCTGTCGTGTGCACCACCAGGCACTCCACCACAAAGGCCTGAAGTGCTGCTGAGCCGCTTGTCCTTCCAGCAGGTTCTCTCATCTCTGGAGAGGACTTCTGAAGTTCTTTCAGAGTGACTGCTGGGTCCCTCGTCACCTCCCACATCAAGGACCTTCTCACTTGGTTGCTCAGCCAACTGTGTGAAGTGTTCTGGGGGTTCTGCACTTCTTCCATTTCATTGTTATTGAGGCCACTTTGCTTCTTATTATCATCACAGCAAAGCGTGTGACTGCTTTCTGCCTGTATATATTTTTTACCCATTTAGAATGAAATGTTGAACACAGAGAAGTGTGCACAAAGCAAACGGATCTGAATACTTTCTGAAGCGACTATTTTCCTCACAGATTATCCTAAATGTCTGAACCTGAGTGGTCAGACAGACAGCTTGTGGATGGCTCAGAAAGCTGAATATGTATTATATTTTCTACATGCATATGACTATATAAAATGCATAACAACACACATATTGGTGATATGCCTGCTGTAGGTCTTTATGTTACCACAAGGCAGAAACTGCCTCATAAAGTTGATATAACTAACATTTGAGCAAAGACTTGCCTCTTCTGACATTAAGCAGACATGAAGTTAGATTGGGATTCTGTTGGAGACATGTTTATGCCAACCTGACTAACGTAAGTCCAACGTTCTAGCAGTGTTTCCATGATGTGCAGCTTTCTGCTTCATCCAGAAACAAGGCTGATGAGTGGTGAGAGCCAGGAGGGAGGGAAGGCCTCAGTACCAACACAACGAGCTAAAAGATGCCTGGACTGGAGCAGAGCTGCAGGTTGGGTGACAGATCTGACTGGTTGTACATAAAAAACATGTTGATTGGTTCAACTTGAAGTATCAGAGTTTTCTATATCAGGGCTGCAACATTTGAGAAAATCTAATTCTTACAGAATTTCCTTCATCAGCTAATGATAGCTTAACTACTCTCCAGCAGAAAATATGAGGAAGAAACAAATCAATTCCAGTGTGTTTTCCATTTGACTCTTTGTGAAACGCACACAGAAGAACGCCAGACGTCTTTTGATGGAAATGCAGAACATCTCTGCTTCAGATGAATGTGCTGCTGGCGTAGAACATGCTTTAGATTCATCTCAGTGTTCACACATACATTCACACAGACTCATTTCTGCATAATGGGATTTCCACTCCCGAGCTTGTTGGACTTTCTGCATGCCAACCACGATCTATAGACGGGACATATTCAAACATTGTGTTTCTGATTTGTGCGGTTGTTGTGCACAATAACTGCAGAAGATGCTGTCCAAGCAGTCAGATCCCAGAGTTTGTGCAGGGAGGCTGATTTAATACAGAGAAAGCTCATTTTGAATGGATAATATTCAGGATATTGTATTAATTCACGCTCACACGTCTCTTCTTGTCTTGTTGATTTATCTCCAAATCCATACAGCAGCGGCTAATTGCTGGCAGTGTACTCGATCAGTAGCTACATCGATTCTATTCCAACCTTGAATTTCATTGAAGGATTTGAGCGTCTGTTTATTCTGCTGAATCTAAGCAATAGTTCAGCTTTGCTGCACGTTATCGGATTCATGGGAGTCTTTTGAAGTCCTTGCTGAAAGAGCTTACACCGGTGTTTTTGTTGCTGAGAAATTAGCATTTGTTTGCAATGTGCGAGCATTGACACTTTAAGTCAGGCAGGCTGAAAGGCATTTCTCTGACAGACGGCGCTTATGTCCTTTTTTTCTGAAGTAAACTACAGCATGTTGTGGGAAAAGTCAGGGAGCTGTTTTTTCAGGGAAATATTTTTTAGTAAGCAGCACCTGTCTCCTCCCATCAGCTGTAGGTTCTTCTATGAGGAAAACAGTTGTGTACACTGAACGTGGAACACGGTGAGCGCCAGGAGGACGTTCTGCTCCATGTAAATAAACATCAGTGTTAGTCCAATGTTGCAGCTGTTGGGGATTTTCTGTATGACTGCTGTATTGCATTTCTACTGACAGACTGAACTCTGTAGACGAGTCACTGGGACGGCAGCATGATGCATCGCAGGAAGGAGAGTTGCTCATCTGGTTTACTTTTATTTTATGACAAAGGAGAAACGGAAAAAGGAAACCAAATCGTAGGAAACCAAGTCATTCACCTGACCAGTGAATGCATGTCAGAACACTTCATGTAGTGACTGGGATCAGTGTTTAGGAACGCTAGCCTTGATCAGCGACTAGAACATGAATAGCTGGCGGATGGATCGATGCGTGAATGGATGGATAAGTCGATGAGTGGGTTGATGGATGGATGACTGGTGGGTGTTGGACAGATGGGGGAAGACGGTCGGTTGGCCAAGTGAGTGGACAGATAGACGTTTAAATGGATTACCATTTGTAAGATAGGGAGGAACTGAATTAAAGGTCATATGCATTGAAATTCTGATTGTAAAGAAACACACTCCTCTTGAACATGCTGTATATTTGATTTGTCCGACGGTAAATGACAAATGCTGTATCTGTTAATGAAAATATTTCTGTTCCACTGCATCATGCTGCAGCTGAACTGCCCCAATAGCCCTATTATAGAATGTACCCAGTATGTATATTGTACCTGTCATTGTAATGTAAATATTGCTTTATTGTGATAATATGCATTTACAATATGAATTTTGTCACCTTTTTTTGTATTTTTAACTTATTCCATTATTCCAAACTCACCACGTGTTACTTCCTACTGAAAACGGAAAGTTTCTACCAGCGCAAGACGACCACACACGATCAGATATCAGCCGCTATGCATAAAGGACACGAGCTCACCACATTTAAAGGTGCAATTATTGTATATAAAAGTGAAGGAACGGAGCAGAAAAAACCTGTTTTGGAAACAGATGTTTGGTGGCTGTGTGATCATTTTCCTTCTCAGTATCTCTCAACGTTTCTTGCTCTGTTTGCACTGGAGGAATGGTTTTGTGCCAGTAAATTAAAGTAATCCAACAAGTTACCTTCCAGATTGGACCTGGTGTTGTGAATTCAGTGAGAACACCAACAGAAGCTCTTCATGGGCTCCAAACAACTCACATGTGTTTAAGGGATGCTGAAGAGGATGTCGCAGGCCAACGCCAACACACACCAACACACGCCAACACACACCAACACACACCAACACACGCCAACACACGCCAACACACACCAACACACACCAACACACACCAACACACACCAACCCACGTCCAAAAGCCGAACAAACCTGTTTGAACCCAAGTGGTTCCTTTCAGTTGTCTCATGCTTCGAAGCTGTCACTATTCCATCTGTGTTTGTTTAAAGGTGCACTGAAGAGGGCGCGCCTAGAAATGTGCACAAACTAAGCAACCATATAAAAAGTGTTCAGGAAACAGGAGCAAATGGAGCCATGCTTATCAAAGGGATGAGGAAAGCTCCTGTTTATTACAAAATGTGTTGTATTTTTGTGCGTTTTCAGACATTAGGGATTACAAGCTGTGATTATGACCTTCCATGCCTCTAAAAAGCAAAAAGCTGTCCCTAATTAGATTTGGTCGCTCTCCCCTTTGAAGCTTGTGCAGCGATGCTCCGGTCCTAGCGCCCCGTCAAGTCTCCACTCGCAGGTTAGTTTTTGGGATTCTACCCACTCATCAAACCAGCGCAGACAGCAAACATCAAACCATCCTGAGCTCCATGCTGAGGATCAGCACTGGTAATGAGAGGTGGTTCTACGGCTCAGAACCAGAGACCAACCCACAGTTTTATCAGTGAAAAGCTGCAGCCTCCAGGGCCAGATGAGGTGCATCCACTCAGGGACATACCAGAACCATGTTCCTTGTTCTCTTTGACGTTCATGGTGTTCAACCCCTATGGTTGACTATCGATGCTGAGTTCTGTTCTAACTTCCTGAGGCGTCTGACAGAACATTCAAGTGATCTGAACGGTTGTGTGTGATGGTTGCACCGACACAACTGTCTCCCTCCATGCGTCCTGTTTGCCAGATTTAGCGACCCACACCTTCGCTCTCTTTCCCAACATGAAGTTTTAGAGTCACCGTTTTGAGACAGGTGAGGAAGTCCAGTGTGCATCACTACAGGTGCTTAATGTTCTGACAGGACGGGCCATCGAGGGGCTGTAACGTATGTGACAGGAGCATCGCGCTGGTGACGGCTTCAGAGGGGGCAGCAGCTGAATTTAAACCAGGTAGGTTTTGATTTATCTGAATGCAGTCACTGAGCCGTTTTAATTGAACATCACTGTCAACACTGGCTGTACTTACTTTCAGATTTCCCTTAAAATGAGCTCGTGGCTAATCTGGGGACACTGATCATTTGACTCATGCTTCCAGACCATATGACACACTCTGTTATGTGTGTTGTCTCAGATGAAGCTCCACACAGCGACTTTAACACAACGTTAGAGACGCCTTGGACAGAAATACAAAAAACTGAAATCCCAGTTGAAGAACACGTACTCTGAGATCAAATTGCAAAGCTGTGCAGGTCTAAATGGTCAGGTAACACAATCAGAAAACACATATTTGCCGGCAGTATGGTCTGTCATGGTTTCTAAAACTGAGGGTTGTGGACCGTCATGTGGACTTGCAGTGTTGGTCAGTTGTTCCAGCTCAAAATCTAATATTTCTGGTCAAACTGTATTCTCAAATTGTAGACTTTAACGCAACCATTTGCTGCTTTTCAACAAAAAGAAAGAAAGAATTATGATAATGTCGGTACCCTGAACGTGACAATGAAAACAAGATACCAGCCATCGAGAGGAAACTACGTCCATTCATCAAGGGTGCAATCACATCCTATCTTCACATCATCCTCGACTCTCTCTGTGTGCCCGTTGTAACCGTAGACTCCTGACCAGGTAGGAAGCACAAGCACTTCCCTTGTGTCGTAGTGAGTTTGCAGAGCCAGTGACACGGTGGGAAAACGAAGGCTGAACCATACGGACTGCTAACTCAGCAACCATGAGCCCTGAGAGAGAAAACAGCACAGTGAGAATAAAAGAGAAGCCATCTTTCTCCAACACCTCGCTGTGTTTCCGAACTCTGAGACAAGACCTGTGTCAAGAAAAGATGGGTGTTCAAACAAGACGTTATTAAAGCCTGTGCCAGCAGGCGGTGGATTCATGCGCTGTCTGGGAAGGATCCTCCGCACGGCCACGCAGCTTGTTTTATTTTGATATAAGACCGTATTAAAATGATTCAGGACTGCATTAAAATGAAATGTAATTATAGTAAGTTGGGTTTTAGAAGAAAAAAGCAATAGGAGGGGAGGCGGTAAAACCCCACATCAATGGATTTTCCATACGGTGAAGTTTGTGATGAAATGCCGGCGTCATGAACAGCTCCGGTGTGTTTCTGTTCTGTGTCAGTGATCAATGGCTCCTCAGGTGTGGCGGAGCAGCGCCTGTGCATCATTGCTATTCCAGCCGGGCGTCTGATCCCCCTTCAGGAGGAAGAGAACAAGCTATTAATGTTAGACTTAAAGCATAACTATTCTCTCTGTCTGCCACCGGTGCTAACTTTTTCATCTGCTTTCCGCTGCTCCCCGATGAAATCATGATTTAAATGGAAGCGATGAGTATGATGAAGTCCTAAACGCTCCAGATTGTCTGAGGAGCTCCAGACACTGACATGGAAACAAGTTACGGTCACCATTAACGTCCCGACGCTTACAGCTGTTTACTTTTCTCACTGTTTCCCTGAAATACTGCATAAACCTACTTTTAAAAACATAGCATCAAGGTGGACAAGATTTTGTAATAAATATAACACCAGCCCGGTAGCGTAGCACAGTTTTATGTCGTACAATTCGTTTGCATAAACATCCCACAAAAGAAAGCAGTGTCTAAAACAACAAGGACGCTCCAACGATGTCCAGGAGAGACCATCTGGCAGGAAGGATGTGTGGAACATGCAGCAAAACCACAGTTCTGCTCATGCAGCTTTAGCCACACAGATGCATTTCCATCAGGTGGAGCTGGGTGACAATACAGCACTCTTCATGGAAGACCAGCAAGCTTCACACTATGTACTTACCAGTAAAGGAGACAAAGAAGAGATGCAATAGGGTGTTTTCCACTGCAGGACCGGGACCACCCTTTAGAACTTCTTTCAGGGCCGTTTTCAGCAGAGACAGAGCACCTTTACCCCGGGGTTGGCTTGTCCTAGCGGCCCTGAAAAACTGCTGTGCAGATGTTGACCTGATTGCTTAAACTCAGAGAAGACAGCAGGTGCATCATGTCTGCCCGGCTCTCTGAGACAACGTTGGTGTTAAAACTGTCAGACCTAATAGCACAATTAAAACAGAAAGGCTGAAAGGGCTGCTCCTGTAAACGCCGGCGCCACCTTTCACCTTCCCCAAGTTCCTGCAGTGTCATTGTCAAACCAGGAGAAGGCTCTTTCCTGGCAATGCCTGCAGAGTGGGAGGTGAGCGTGGACCTCAAGAAACAACAAACGTTCCCAGAGGACGATGCTCAGTGCTTATGCCAGAAATAGTTCTGTTGTCTCGAGCAACAAAACAAGTTGTGCTCCTTGAGCTGACTGCTGGTGGGTGGAGAGGATGGAGGAGGCCTATGAGGAAAAGCTTGGGAAGTACCAACCATCCCCAAATACCAACAGAGGGGATGGTGGGAATGGAGTCACCCACTTTAAGTAGGCTGCAGAGGATTCCCAGAAGAGTCACCCCAGACTTTTCCATCCTGGGAATCAGACGTACGATCCAGACTGAGTCTGAACAATTCAAATGGTCTTGGGTGATTTATTTATGGGACTCCCTGATGTTCCTTTAAATGATTTTATCATCAGTTTGGAAAGTTCCAGTCTGATGTACAGAAAACTAAACATTGTAGACTTCTAGATCAAGAAAAAGAATCCTGTCACTTAATGCGGTTACCTGTGCTGTGCCATACCTGTGTAGTGCTCCTCTGTCTGCTCAGAGACTGGATGAGACGCCATCTTTGGTACCATGTGATGTTCCATCAACGTGGACCAGATCCATCAGCCTAGTTGTGGGAAACTCTCATCAAACAGACAAGCACCAGTTGTTTCCTCAGGATTCTGGGTCACTGGATCAGCCTCGTGTGGACCAGAATCCTTATGAAAATGGGTTTTGGAGTGCATATTAATCTGCAGTAAATCAAAACAGAGAAGGGGTCTGAGTGCCTCTGTCATCTAATGCCACAAAAACTGCCTTGTGCGTGTTTTTGCGATGCAAACTTGTTTTCATGCCTAAATGAGCTCCACAGCTTCCACTGATGCCCATCGACCAGCTGAACATACCCCATCCACGCTGGCACTGGAGGAGCTATGCATTGTTAATGTGAAGATCACAGCAGACAGAGGAAGCAGTGGTGGCCTGATGTCTCTTCAGATCTGCACTATGCTCCACATCCTACTGCTGCTCTACATGTGTCACAGCTCATGGTGCAGACAGACGTTACCAGTGAAGAATACAAGAGAAACCATCACATGGAATTAAAAAGACGTAGATAAGCTGTGGTTTACCACACTTTCTTTGACAACTGGTTTTATTTCTTTATGGGTCCAAAGGGGCAACAGATATGAGTGATCAGGCTCGTTAGTTTTATGAGATGATCTAAATTTCTTTATTTGGAAATAAAAGTGTCCTGATTTCAGCCGTGGTCCTGGTATTACGTTGCTTTTCTCTTCCACCAGCCACCTTTCCCCTTCCCTGTATTTCCGTAGAACTTTGCAGCCCCTGACATTCACCTGACGTCCAGGTGTCCTCTGTAGCTCCCCCTGCATGTCATCAGTTCCCCTATCCAGCTGTTACCGTTGTAGATTCACCATGCTGTCCTGTTTATGTTGTGGACTTGTTTTCTTGCCATCCAGCCTGTACCTGGAGCTGTGTTCCTGTACAGGTTAGCAGCTATCATCAGGTTCATAATAAAGCTCATATAAAGCACACCTGTCTGTGTCTGACTGCTGGCTGTCAGTGGTTTTAGGTGTTCTTTGAGATGTTCATGACATGCAGACCTGTTGGGTGGAGCAACCAGAATAAATCTCAGGTGGTAATGACCTCCAGTCTCTTTTACGGGTAAAACTGACCAAAGGAGGCAAGAAGTCTGTGCTTTTTTTTTTTTTTTTAGTTGTTTTTTGATTTTGATAGAAAAACATCCCACATCGTTAGTGTTGGACTAATTATAGATGTGTGTTCTGGGCTTTCTTTAAAAATGAGCTAAATATTCAGTTAACTTGACTTTCTTACTTTTGTGCATCCTGTATGTTAGCTGTCAAGTCAAGAATCTTTATTGTCATTATGCAGCTAGTTTTCACCAGTCACATGACCAAATGTTGTTGGTAACGCCGGCTTCAGTAACTGTGTGTAAATGTCTTAAACTTGTTCTGCAAGAAAAGAAACTTGGTTGGTGTATCTGTATGTTGCCTCCCTGTATCTTCAGACTGGCTGATCTCTCCTTGTCTTTATGTGTATTCATTAGAAACATACTTTAGACAGGTTTGGACCTTAATTTGCCATCAAACAGCTTGAATGCTTCAGAACATGGATTCCATGATGATGTTGATTGAATGATTTTTCAGCTGCACATTCATGTCACATTCCAAAGGTGTTCTTCTGAACTCAGATCTGCCACTGAAACCCACTGAACTCAGTGCTGATGTAGAGGTGTAGGACAACGTTTGCGTTGTGCCATGTTATCCTGCTGGAAGTAACCACTGAAGATGGTGAATTGTGGCCCAAAAGACATACACATGGTCAGCAACAACACCCAGACAGGCTGTGGCATTCAAACCACGACTGAGCGGTGTGTGATGAGACCTGGAGCGTGCCAAGACAACATGTCCTACACCATTACACCACCACCAGCCGCCTGGACTGCTGCCACGCTGTCAGTTCCAAATTCTGACCCCGTCATCTGCAGAAAACCTCGGCAGAAATCAAGATTCATCAGAGCAGGCTAAGCTTTTCCATCTTCAGCTGGGCAGTTTTGGCTAACTGGTGCCAACTGCAGCCTCAGATATCTGTTCCTAGCTGTCAGGAGTGGAACTGGACATGGTCTTCTGTGGCTGCAGCCTCAAGGCTGGACGTGGCGTGCATTCTAAGGTTCAGCTCAGCTCAGCTCAGTAAAGAGTGGTTATCTGCATTACCGTAGCCTTTCTGTCAGCCACAACCAGTCTTGCCACCTCTCTTATCAACACAAACTGCCACTGGATGTTTTTTGTTTTTCCACACCATTCTGAGAAGCTTTAGAGACTCCCAGGAGATCAGCAGTTCAGAGACACTCAGACTAGCCCATCTGGCTGCCTGCCTGGATAAGCAGGTATTCAGGTGTTTGTGATAAAGCGCCAGGTTAGTGTATATCTGGGGTTTGGTGACTGAACATTAAAGAGGAGTGAGTTTAAAACATAAAGGTTTGAAGAAGAGGAAGCTGGATAGAAGACGTTACGGTCCTGACAGAGCTTTGTTCAGCAGTGTGAACCTCCTGAGGGCTGTATACAGACAGATAGAGACTGTGTGAGTGTGTGTCAGGGAGATGACTGGAGGACTGGTCCGACAGCTCAGGAATGCGAAAAGCATACTAAGGATCTCACAAGTCAAAGCAGAGGAAGAAAAAGAAAGGGATTGCTGCAAGAGAGTACTTTCACTGTCCTCCAGACCTCATGCTGCTTCTCAGAGGTGTGTGTGTGTGTGTGTGTGTGTGTGTGTGTGTGTGTGTGTGTGTGTGTGTGTGTGTGTGTGTTGAGTATGCAATGTGACAGATTGGTCTTTTTCTATTGTTGAAGCCAAACTCTACAAAGGGACAGAAGCATGACAGAAGCACATTCTCCAGACGAAGGTCACTTCAGCTACGTGTTGCATCATTTTATTCGTTTAGGAGTTGGTGTAAAGAACAAATTAGGGGCTGGGTACAGTGTCGATGCTGTCTTGCTTCATTAATAGACACATTTGTGCAAAAAACAGGATTTATTTGTGGATTATATACAAGGGACATAATGTTTAAAATGCAAAACGTGTTTTAATAGAGTTGTAGGAGAATTTTAATACATCAAAAAGTGATAATTGTTGGAGGAGGCCACTGTGAAACAGCTCAAGGTTCTAAAACAGTTTGCTGCGTAACGTGTTGCTGCATTGGACACTAAAGCAGTGCACGTGGTGTTAATAATCATAAACCCATATTGCTATTTTGAGTCTGCCTACACTAGTATGTATGTAAACCAGGTAGCTGGAACTTGTCATAATTCTTTAAAAAGTGACACGGTGAGGTCAAAGGAAAGATTCTTGGACTGTGTAGTGCATTAAGGCATGTCTAAGTCCCATTATTGGAGCCTTTCTAAGCAGGATAAAGCTACGTTTAAGGCTAATCAGAGCTAATGGAGACAGCAGGGCAACCCTCTTCACCCTATGATCATCATCATGCCGTTTTTACCCTTTGAGAGTTACCTGAACAAGTTCTGGTTCTGGCCTTTATGTCTTTATGCTTTGACTAATTGTATCTCACTAACAGCAGTGAGAGGTGGAGAAATAACACCCTTCAACATGAGGTGTGATGTTTTTTCTCATGATCTTGGAATGTGGTCACACATATTTATACCTGGCTGCCATCCAGTGACAACACCAACCGGGTCGCCTTCAGATGTGATCTCACCGCTTCAGCTCGCATTGGGATGCATTCTGCATGCCTCTGCATCAACATGTGTTTTCCCATTTTCCCAGGGTGTGAACAGAGCGTTATGTTAAACAGAAAAGAAAATTAGTTTGATTTAAAATCAACACATTTAAACCTATACCGAGTCATTGAAAGTCAGCGATTCAAAAGAGGAAGATCTACCTGCATATGACAGCAACTCGTGGAAATGAAGAAGGGACCCCGTTTTCTGCTCCTATCTTTTAAATGCATTTTATAGGGGTCTTTTATATTTCAACGCTAGCAGAGGAAAAGAAAGGCTTTAGGGTTCATGTCAGAAACAGTCGGAAATATACATTAGAATTTATCTGGTATGGTTGAGAATATATAAATCTGGCAAATTAAACTCCTCATCAAACACAGTGTCTGTGGGCTTCATGTGTCACCGTATTAACTATTATATGACAGATGCCCAATTTGGTTTTCAGTGTGTAATTAAAGTAAGCACCTTCCTCTGTCTAAAACATACATTAATTCAGTCACGATGGGGTGCTGACTCAGTTTCAAGTGTTCATATGTCTTGCCCAACCTAAGCAGAGGCCTTGCTGCCTTCCTAGGATGTGTTCAGGGCCAGTGTTGACAATTCGACACACCTTTTCACAGTTCAGAGGAAACAAAGCTCTGAGAGGTGAAGACCAAGCATTCCACAAATACTAGATCACTGCTAGGGGTGAGTATGTCATGGACTCACACCTGAGAAGGGTTACAGTGAACTGCATACATGGAACAAAGTGTGTTGTTTCAGGAAAAAGCAAGATTTTTTTGTAGGTCTTGAATTTTCTGAAGCTTGTGTTTCAATAATAATGTTTAAAATGAAAACATGTGTATGACATACTGGTTTATTAGAGACAGTCAAAAGAGAAAAGCATTTTCAGCAGCTCACAGGCATTATGACACACACGAGACATCCCAAGTCCCTGTGGGAACATTATGCTGCTGATGCCGACAGCAAGAAAATATGAAATCAATACAGAAGCAGTAATTCAGTGTAGTAGCCAAAGAACACATTATTGGAATAATTTTTAATATTTTATTGATTCTTCAGGGTCAACAGTATTACACAAGGCTTGTTTCACTGTGGAACAGGCTATTAACAGACACAGGAAGAAATTATCTTGGTCTGCAGGGGAAATCCTTTTTTTCTTTTTTTGGAAAACAGTGATTCTAATCGACTTCCTTTGGCTGATGTGAAACCACACCAATATGTCTTACACACTGTTTTTCACAGATACTGAAATTCTGTTATTGAATTGTCTAGAATATAACATTTGCAATCAGTGAATCTCTGTAAATAAAGTGTTCTTCGATGTTTGTTTTTTTTTTGTCTTTGCAAACTATGCAAAAACACAACTTACCAAGCATGTTCATGTCAGTGTCTTTTGAAAAACAAACCTCAGAAACAGAATATTTATGCAGATTTTCCTTCTTGCGTAACATATTGTGAGGATATTGCAGAGTTGTGAGCATCCACAGCCGGATAATACATGTAAAACTTTAAACTACTATAAATATTTTCATTTCATTTCCATTAAATATTGAAATCTAAAATCGCTCTATGTTCATTCTGAGGCTGCATGCTTTCATCGAAATCATTCTGTTAAACAAAAGTTTAGTCATGTCAGAGTGTTAGTTAAATATTGACCTTTGTTTGGGAATGTTCTCCATGTTTCCGACGGCACCTGAATGCAACAGGACTGGACAACGCGCATCGTGATTTGAATGAACGGACCAATCAGCGGCCTCGTCGGGCGGAAGCCGCCGGCTCTCAGCCACTCTTAGCCAATCAGCGCGCGGCTCCGTTGTTTGCCTTTCTTTTTGAATTGAACTCTAACAGCAGTCTGACACCCTCTCTGGACTACTGAGCACTAGTTCGCTGTCAACAAACTCAAGGAGTTATTTTGGAAGTTGTTTCCACGCATAAAGAGCGACATGCACTGAAACCGGACGTGGGATTTAACGGAAAGATGTTACCGCTTTTTTAAAGAGTGTTTTGGGGCCGACGGGGAACTCTCAGGACCTTGTATTGTTGACCTACTAGCTCGGCAGCTAGCCCAGTTAGCTACAGGGCTTATTGAGTTAAACTGGTCCAGAGGCCAGCTGAACTTCATTCGCTCCATTAATATTTTATCTTAAGCTGCCAGGAATCAAAACTATCGGTAAGTATGACTTCCTGTTGTTGTGCTAGCTCGACACACACCATTAAACGTTAGCTAACACAGTGACGGGTCACCGGTGAGAGAAGCTAACGTTAACTAGCGTTCTGTTGGATGAACGTTCATGTCATGTTCAGGTGTTTTATCCCATTTAAATGAAGCTCAAGTTGAGGCACACAGGCAGCAGACGAGCCATGCTGCTGTCTGAGCTGCTCAGATATGACCCAGGTCTCACCCAGCAGTGTGTTCATGCTTTACTTGTTTAACGTTTTCACTACGACGCTTTATATTTAGAGCCATAAACAGAGACAGGACTGCATTTTATTTATCATCAGTCAGCTTCACAGAACAAATGAGTTGCATGGATGGAGCTTCCCATTAAACCCTGTACAGACACATGTCTGACTGTCTGCTGCTGTGTGAACAACATCTAAAGTTTCAGCTCTAACTTTTCGCCCACCCTGTCCAGGTTTGCAGAAGTTAGCACATTTCACAAATATGTTCCTTCATCTCCAGCTGAACCCAAACAAGACTTTGGCAGTGCTGGTGTTTGAAGTCATTCCAAGTTGTGTCTCTGCCTTTAGTTTGACAGTTGGATCCTTCTCCTTATTTCCCTCCTTTCTGCCTTGTTGTGTTCTCCCTCTGTGTCTCTCTGTTCCTTCCCTCTAACTTTTGATAGTTTGGACAGTTTGGTGCCTCCTTTGGTTCCTGCCATGGCTGACAGCAGCATAGTGACTTTAGGGACGGCTCGGAGTCTGTTGGTGGATTCCTCGGTCTATGATTCGAGGATTGCTGAAACCACCAAGGACCATGTATTTCTGGGCATGACATGTGAAGATGGGGAAGGTCAGTCTACGACAGTCGCAGTCTTTCCGTCTCTTCTCTCTTTGCTCCTCCTTTGTCTAAATACCCAAACCAAGCTGTTGCTGTCTGAAAACCAGAGCTGCAGCCAGACTTTAGCTTTCACCCATTAATATGCCAGAATCTGGATCTTCCAGTATACCTGCAACCCCAAAGGCTAGTCATTTAGCACAAAGACAATAAAGCAATGTTACAGATTGCAAATGTTTGCAAGTAGACAGAAAAACGTTCATCAAACACGTCATTAACACTGCAGAATAATCTCTGACTTCGTCTGTACATCCCCCTCAGACCAACACTCAGTCGCCACCAGTGTGGAACTTATTAACACGTTCTGACTTTATGAAGTTATATTTGTTCAGTTTTTGCCAAAATAATCTTGTTGGCTGCAGTTTGCAGACTCGTTGTGCTTTTATACTGTTCAAAGCTCAAAGTGTTTGTGTGACTTCATCTTCCCTAATTATGACAAATGCTTGGACAGAGTGACAGAAACACCCTCAGTCTGATGCAGTCAGACAGACTGCAGCCGCCCAGCAGTGCTGAATGGACACTCCCTTTACTGCAGGCTGTTTAGTGGCTTCAGCTCGGCCTGTTCACTGATAAGTCTTCTTTTATGTAGAAATCGGGTGCTTCTTATTCTTCCTAAATGTCACATTAGTTTTTGATTTAAATTGCAGCTCAAGGTTAAACTACATCTAATTACTCCATCAAGATGAGCACAGGTTCAGCTGTAGTCACGCTGGGTGTCTGAACCGTTTTATTTAGAGAACACCATTCATGTTGTGAGGAGCATAGCAACTGGATGCTACACTGGACATGAGTTTAGCCCCAGCAGTGAATTCACTACTGAACTATCTCCCCTTTACTTTTCTTTCTATCAATACATCTCATCTTGACTTGTGATAGTTGACAAGTTAAGTCATATTGTTTGCTCTCAACTAACTGCAGTGTCAGCGTGTCACCGGCTAATAGTGAAGCTGTTGGTCTGACAGCACACTGCATGTCTGATCAGTGGTGTCTGAGAGCTGCCCTTCCTGTAGGCACTGGAGCTGTGGCTGTTCATTAATGAATAACTGCTGTATTTGTCAGACAGTCAGTGACACTGTGCTGGAATCAAACATAAAGTTCTAATTACACAATTATCTAACCCTTTGGAAACGTTTCCTTCAAAAATGCCTTAATAATGTAGTCTGAGCAGAATAAATCTGTCTGTGAACTGAATGTGATGAATTCACACCTCAGCTGAACCGAGTCTTCAGCAGGTTTAATTTAAGCCTGTAGAAGCTTTGACATCTAAAGTAGGTTCAGTGATTTGTACAGAGATTATGTTCAGACTAAAGCACAGCGTCAGTTTAAACGGCAGCAGGGTTTATGAGAACACAAGACTTCCTGTTTGACATACATGATAACATTAAGAACTGCTCAGATGAAATAATTCACCTCCGCTCGATATTTGGTCCATCTTGATGCACAAAGTGTGCGTGGACTTTTAACCCCGAGCCCACAGGTAAACATCAAAGAACTGATATACTTTTCTGTAAAATCTCCTTTTTTTGAATGCTGGAGTCCTTTTAGAGGTAAATGAATGCAGCTCTGAGGATAAAAGCCTGAAAGTGTATTTGATTTTCTCTTGATTTTATGGGTAGGTTGGGTGCAGGAAGGTCAGGCAGAATAATTAAGCAACTAAGTTAATTTTCTCTCATAATTTTGACTTTATTGAGGCATAATTTTCTTGTATCTGGTCTAAATTGGTACTTAACTCAAATTGAGGCCTAAATGTGTTGTGAGGATCAATATCCGTATTGCACATGTGGTTATTACCTGGCTGTCAGTCAAAACGAGAAGGAAAAAGCTTCCTTCTTACAGACAGCCTGCTGCCGTGATCGGCCTCTCTGTCATTCCTTCTCTGTGTGAGAGTGTCATTCCTCTTTCCATCTCCCTGTTGCTCACACCGACTCCGTTTGTGTTCATCTCTCTCAGATATGCTGCCAAAAGTGGAGACGCGAGTTGTTGTGGTGGGAGAAGCAGGCAGAAATGGAGCACTGGTCAAAGCACTACAGGTAAATCATTTCTCTGTTCACCTGGAGTTCCTCTGAGATCCACTGGCATCTATTCAGGCAGCAGGCCTGCACCCTCTGAGCTGGGCAGCATCGCTGTTCTTCTGTCTGCTCTGTGATAAAAGAGGATATGGATCGATTTTTCAGAGTTAATTGATTGTTGTACTTACCAGATTTTTCAGATTTCCTCAAATGTTGCCTCAGATGTGAAACCAGATGCAGGAGGCTGAGCACAAGCCCATGTTCACTGGGTTTCTGTTTAATTTATTACAAACAGGAAAAAGTACTTTGGTTTATGTGTTAATAGAATTAAGAATTACGGCTTCCTGCCACAGTGCAGAAACATGCTGAGGTTAATTGGTGATTGTAAATTGTCCGTAGGTGTGAATGTGAGTGTGCTTGGTTGTCTGTCTCTAAGTGTAGCCCTGTGATAGACTGGTTACCTGTCCAGGTGAACCTGCCTTCACCCTGAGTCAGCTGGGATAGGCTCCGCCCCCCATGACCCTGGTGAGGATGAAGGTGTAGAGATGATGGATAGACATTAAATATTGATCTGAAGTTTTTAAGTTCAGCAAAAATAGACCTTCTACATAAAGATTGTTGAGCAGCAAATAGGATTTGGGTCAGAGGCTCAGCAGACGAACATGTGGCCAGAGTGGTTATGGCAGCTGAACGCTGTAGACGCTGGTGGGAAGGCATGGAGAAAGTATAGTGTTTAACATACTGTCTTGCAGCTTATAGACCAATCTGCTAACCGAGAAAATCTTTTGCAGCTTGACGGGCGATGGCGACAGCAGGACTAGATATTGGCACTGATCTGCCATCGATTGTTTTGATTCTCAGTGTGTCAGATACCGAGTCTGCATACAGCAGCTCAGACGCTCCGCTTGCACGAGAATGTTTGAACAATAAATGTCCCACACAGCGTTGCACAAACTGCCTGTACCAGACCTAATTGTTGCTTGGAGCGCAGACAGAGCAGGCGTGTTGGTCGAGTGCACGTTTGTGTCTGCTCCAGTAGTCCAAGTGGCTCGTCTTTGAGTAGCCTCATGTGAAGGTGATTTGGAGGCGTGGCGGCAGACTAAGTGTTGGTAGAATGACTTCCTTCCCTGTTCTCCTGAGCCCTGTCACTTCTGAAGGCTTCTTGCTTAAATCATCTATTTCTCCCTGCCACTCCTGTAGCGCAGCCACATCCAAAGACATCTGCCGACAGCTCCATCAGAGCGCTCCCGATTGCCTGCCTGACCGCCCGCCGCCGCCGCCGCCGCTCAGTCAACCCACAGGAAAAGAGGCCCCCACCAGCACTGCTTCTTTATGTTCCCTTCCCTTTCTGTCCTTCTTTTTCTCCTCTCCTCCTCCTTCCCGCGGGCTTTGAACTTTATATTAATTTTTAACAGAAAATTCTTCTCCTCCCCAGCCAACCCCCTCCGGAGCGTGATATTTGTTTGAAGGCTCTGTCTTTAGACTTTGCAAGGACACAGGCCCCGCCCCGGCGTTTCCTCGCTCGCTTCTTGCTGCTTCCCTGAACCCAGCCATCTTCTCTTTTTGTCATGTGGGGTTAATTTGTATGCATTTGTCTCTGCCTTTCTTTGTTTCTCATTCCCTCTCAACCTTCTGTCCTCCCAGTCATATTTTCTTGTTCTCTTCCTCTTTCAAATGCCAGTGTTTGACATCCGCTTCCTGCTGGTTGGTTTTTACAGGCCATCAGAGTAATGGAGGTACCTGTGGTAAAGATAAAAGAAGGCGAGGCGGGTACCGAGGAGAAAATGATGATAAAATCTATAGTCAATATGGTACAGTACAGTGTCTGCCTCTGTGTGTGACTGTGTGACACTTTGATGGGAGCTGGGGAAGTGCTGCATGAGTCCTAATCCACAGGGGGCGCTCACTCAATCACCGTGCACGGCTAACTCACTCATACTGAATGGATTTGTGGGTGAACTTATAAAATCCTGGACCGTAATGGTTGATGTCTGAATCAGAAACTGGATCAGAGATTTGCACTCAAACGTCAGTGCAGGTTCAACCTGAGGAGCGTTTATTAAATGTCATTTCAAAGGCGTCCCGTCCGGCTTCGTGACATTTCAAAATTGACAATTTCCAGCTGCTAATACGAGCTGCAGTTTCAAAAAAACATTTGACTAGACGTGCCATGTAGAGTGGCAGTGTATTGAAGAAACTTTGACTTTTGAGTGCCATCTCTTGTTAAAGTCGTAGTTTGATGCTTTTGAAAATATGTTGTTTTGCTTTCTGTCTGAGAATTAAATGAGACGATGGCTCACAGAGTTTACAGAGCTGGACACTGGAAGCAGAGGAGCTAGTTACAGAGTTAAAGAGAAAAACAAGAACACCTTAAAGATGACCAAGTTACACCAGATTTAGTCTTTCTTTCTTTCTTTCTTTGTTTAGAGTTTTGTTTGTTTACTAGCTTTTGACAAACAACAGCTTTTCTTTTTCCACACAGTACCTGCTCATTTCTTCTGTAGAGAGAAAGCAAATAAATGTATTTTCAACAATGTTAAACTCTTCCTTTAACACACGTGTGAATCTTAACGATGTGATAACTGTGTCTGTTAATCTACTGATGCTTTCCACTTGTCCTGCCTGTGTCACCTCCTCCTGTTTGTTCTATGGGCTGATGGACTGGTGTCATGATTAATCAACAGTTAGTCTGTGGGTTAGTTGTTGCTCTCTGCTATTGAAGCCAGTGATGTGAACACCTTTACTGTGATTCAAACCAACAACTTCTGTCACTTGTGAGGACGGACACACAAAAAGAATGTTAGATTGTTCAAAGGATGTATTTGCTTTTGCTATTTGGCTACCAGGGCACCTCTTGTGATGGAGTTTATGTATTCAGTAGTATGAGACAAATATTTGATCTTGAAATGGTTTTGGTGGCCAGAAGAATCTTGGCAGGTCCACCGTTTTCTGACTGTCAACAAATCCTTCACAGAGACCAGAAACAACAATGGCTTGTCTGAATCCAGCATCCTCGTATCTTCTGGGACGCACTCAGAGATGGACGATTGTTGTTGCTTTTGATCTTTCCGTGGGATTGTTGACAGTAAATAGAACATAATGCCAGTGTTATCCTTTGTTCTTTTCTCTTTTTTTTGTTTTGCTAATTATGGAGGAAATCTGATAAAGATGCCGTTAGCTAATGACTTACCAACATCCAGCAGCCTCACTAACACGGTCAACGAGCCCTAATTTGCTGCTTGGTTGAGCTCCAGCGGTGTGTCATGCACTAATCTACTGCCCCAAACTCTTCTTCTCCTGATTCAGGACATCAACGCTCCGTTCATAATGACAGACAACGTCCAGGAGTTCGGAGATGCAGAGAACACGGATTTTGAGACGGTATTCGTCCTCAAAGACTTTGACTCTCCCGACTACAGCTACCTCTACAAACGCGATAACCGCATCGTCGGGCCCCCCGTGGTGCTGCACTGTGCTGCCAAGGAGGAAGTGAGTCTGTGACTGACAACATATTGATTTTATGCAAATGATGTGGGACATGAATTGTGTCACGACCTCGACTCGGATACATCATTATGTAATCAAGAAGTGTTTCAGTTCAGCTTTTCTACGTCTCCAACACAGCATCGGCCCTCCTCCGTCTGAGCTCGGCTTCTGAACCCTCCTCAGCCTGGAGTTTAACAGATAGTTACAGCTTCACTGTGAAGCTCTCGCTCGGGGAAATATGCTGTCTGTTTGTTATGTGGGGGGGACGCAGAGATTGCATTGTGGCTCAGGATGATGAACAGGAGCTGCTCCTTCCCGCTGTGCTGTCTGTCTGACAAACTTCACATAAGATGCCATAGTTGAACAATGCGCTCCGGCTGTGGCTGCTATCAATAAGACAGAGCGCTCTGCACATTAGTCAGCCGGAGGCGGCGTACACATGCATGCAGATTGAGAACCATCATAGCACGGGAACAGGTTCAACCATGTCAGGCGTTCATCTGATAAAGAGTCGCTGTTTACGTCAACATTTGCTTTTAACATACTGTAATTTGTGTAATACTAATTTACTGTAAAACAATGATGCAGTGATTGTGTTGTTCCCTTGTCCACAGCCTCTACACTTCTCATGTCGCCCTCTCTACTCCACCACCATGCTCAACCTGTCGCTGTGTTTCACCGGCTTCAGGAACAAAGAGGAGATGGTGAGCTCAGCAGCTTCACATCATGCACCTTTCAGCAGTAACTGATGTGTTGCTTTGTCTCACTCACTGTGTGTCTTCGTTGTAAAAAACACACTAATAAACACATGACAAGTTATGCGTTGATGTAAAAACGAATCAGGAGAGGTCATTGTGGCGTTATCGGTGTGTTTCCACCCAACGCTGGTGGCGCACCTGGCATGTGGAAATCCTGTCATGTTTGCTAACGAGACCTTATCAGGGACCATAATAGACTCACGTATGCACAGCAGCTAATTATGTGGCAAACTGATTAATAAACGCCTGGCATGTTCCACCTTGGTATTTATCTTTGTGCTAAGCTTGTTAATTGCCGTCCCTGCAGAAGAACTTGGTGAACCTGGTCCATCACATGGGCGGGACCATTCGGAAAGACTTCAGCACCAAGGTTACTCATCTCATCGCGTACTCCACTCATGGAGAGAAGTACAGGGTATGCACACGCTCAGTTGTTGTTTTCCTTCACTGTGCATGCCTGACGTTATCACTGCTGTGCCGTAGGAACGGGTGGTTCACTATATGTCATGTGCTGCATGTCTCAGGTTTTAATGAACGCCCTCATCTTTATGTTTGACTTGTTTTCAGAAATGTGTTGACAAATGAGCCCTCTGAACCCAACATGGAAACAGGAGAACCACAGCTAGAAACAGGGAGAACTCAGTGTCCTCTGTGTGGGATTTGATTCTATAAATACTCAAAGGGGAGGAAAAGTTTAACTTCTTTGATCACTTATTTCACAAGACTTGGAAAAACAAAAGCAGGAGTCAATGCATACTGTGTTCTTCTCCGTGCTCACAGGCGTTACCAGTAGTAAGAAAAATATAGCTAGCGTAGATATTTTACAGCTTGTATTGTTCATTTGTTTTTACACTCCTCCATCATGTGAACATGCAGCTCAGCCCAGTTCAGCCAAACACCTCCTGGTCGCCGCTGAGTTTAAAGTGTGTCAGGTAGAATAAAGAGATTTTGATGTGTTTTAAAGCAAGATTTGGCGAGTTGGTCCAACAGAACCGGTTGTCCCACATGATTAGTTTCAGGGTGAAAAGTTGATGATTCTTTCGGGGTTGCACTCTGATAAATAGTGAACAAATTGGTGAACTTTTTATTAAAAAAAGATAAATATCTGTGCCTTTCAAAACCTCCAGTGAGTTTTAGGGTTCAGAGGGTTCAGAAATAAGCTCAACAACAGCTGAACTACATGTATTAAAAGACATCAAAGTAATTTCAGGACTATGTGACGTGTATAATAGCATGTCTGTGCTTTCACTTCAGTACATTTGATAACTTTACCGAGGCCATTTGTAAAAGGACCTGGAAACGCTGATGTACATGTTGTTTACACTTGTGCAGAATTTGAGCTGCATCCGCTGGTGCTGGGCTGGTGAATAAAAGATAATGGTAGCACTGGCCAAGATCTCCACAGTCCATCAGTATCAGAACAGAGCTGGCACAGAGATGTGTGCAAGGACTGAAAACGGAGATTGATGTCGAACCAAAAAGAAAAACCCTAAAACATTACAACATACAACAGAGGAAGTGGAAGCAGCACTTTATCATGTCTAAAAGTCTGAACAACAAACTGTGGTTCATGTTTTTCTTCTACTCTTTTTTTGTTCGTGTGGCACTTTTCTCACTTCTCTGCTTTAGTCAGCTGGATGTGAATTTTCTCCCAGCGAACTTGAATACGAGCGTTTCAATCTGATGTCACAAACTGGTAATTTAATTCCCAGTTGGGTTCTTTTAAACTCAGCTTAAAAGGGTTATTCCAACAGTTTTCTGCCGTCCTTGGTAAGAATAAAGCTGGATGAGTGTGTGAAGACTGGCACTCAGCATTGTTTCCTCTGCACAAACGAACAAATGCTGTCTTTTATAAATCCTCTCTTGCAATTATCTTCTATTAATTTCTTTCCTCTCACTTCTCTATTGGTTCTTTTTTTATTTATTTATTTAATTTTTTTCACCCGTCAGTTTTCCCTGTTCCTCCTCGGTGTGTTATGTTCCAGCAGAACAAGACAAAGTGCAGTGAGACGTTGTTGGCTTCACGACTGGAGTCATTTAAAAAAGGGAAAAATGAACATCTTTAACCACAGATACCTGTTTCTGTGTTGTGACAGAAGTAGATCATGTTTTGACCTGAGTGACAGGATGACCAGAAGTAATGAGAACAGATCAGGGAGACAGTGGAGCTATCTGAAGGTCTTACTGGTTCTGGATAGATGTGGTACCTGACTTTCTGTTATGCCCTCATTAACTCGTGTGTTCTGTGTTCCTCCTCCCCTCAGCTGGCAGTGTGCATGGGGACTCCCATCCTCACCCCGTCATGGATTCATAAGGCCTGGGAAAGACGGGATGATGTGTAAGTTGAAACTCCTTGATGCTCTGTTGTCATGTTGAAACCTGTGTTTTATCGTCTCATACACTTTTATTGTTTTAATACTCCACAAAACAACAACACAACAAAATACGACGGCCCTGCCTGTGTCAACGCGTGATTGGAATAAACAAGCATAAGGCACCGATGAGCGGGTAGAAGGGGGCACAGCGTACAGGTTGTCAGGCTGGGATCTACAGGTGGACAGCTGTTGGGAAGACACTGTTTCACCAGTTCTGTGGTGTGTTTATGTCTCATCCTCAACCATCTACCAATAGTTTCTACTAGTCTTTATGAGGTAGTGGGACATGTGGGTTGGCTGACAGGTGATACTGGAGGCCCTGATTCGATACCAGGTCTAGCAGATGCCACCAACTGCTGGCAGCTGCATCCCAGTAATATCTGACCCTATGCAGAGCTTCCTGGTCCTGGTCAATGCAGCTGGAACACCACGCTGGGAGGCAGTGTGTCAGGATACTGTCCTTAACAAAACCATTACCAATGGAAGATGTTTGGAGACCAAAGTTGATAATGATTCTAGAGAGAAAAACAGCATCCAGTAACGATGTACGAGTCCGTATTCGTTCTCTACTGAAAACAGCATTTTTAACAAGGAGACCTCAGTAGTAATCAGCTTTCACTGCAGCAGGAACTTAGCAGGTTCCTTAAGTTCTCACAGTGTTGGAAGTACTTAGTGTCCAAAGACTAGGAATGTGCAGAGAGATGCTCCCCCTAAGGATTGGTGCTAATCCGGCCCTATTTTAATGGATAGATATCCAGCTAAAGCTGATTAAAAGCTGATCCTTTCTTTGCTGTACTCTACTGTGTTTTATCTTCCTCAGTTTGATGCAGAGCTGCTCCTCTTGTTGGTTGATTCACTTGTTTAAATAGCATGCACCTGTCCGGTTATTTCAGCTGCTAATGGCCAGTCAAGGTACAGCTCGGTCGTCGCCTGCTCTGCTTGCTGTCTGCGAGCTGCTGTCTGTATTCAGTGAAAGGAAACCAGCGTTGTCCATCTGTTTATTCATGCTGCTGGTGTCTTTGTTGGGCCTCAGTGTTTGTGAAGTTGTTCAGCCCTGTCACTAACCTCATTCGTATTTGGTGTCGCCTCCTGAGCACTGCTGGACGTCTGTTTCAGGAATTTGTCCACAAACTATCCAGAAATCAGCAGCAGCTTAAACTGTGACAAATGGTTGCAGGTTGTTTTTTGGGGCTCTCCAATCCAAGCTGTTCAGTGGGTGTTTGACCAACGCTGAATGCAGTCTGATGCTCACACTTCTTACACAGAAGCCGAACATGTGATGCTGATAAATCTAGCTCGCTAAGATATCAGGTGATGCCTGCTCAGACCTCCTGTTTTCTCAGTTACACATTTCCAGTTCCCCTGGTTCAAAACTCGCTTTGTAAATAACATGAATGAAAATTAAGACTCAAACCGTGACATTGATGTTTGACAGAAGACAGATGTTGTTGGAACCACAGTTGTAAATGTGCGGGCACCATAAATACAGAGCAAAGACGTCTGTAAAGAAGTTGGACAGTGTTCTGGAGAACCAGCAGCACTATTCTGGATCGTTGCTGTTCAGATCTAGTACTCGATCAGATTAAACATAACAGGGAATAATACAGATGCACCACTTGTTGCAGAGCCGCCTGACCTACAGCTTCTCTCGCTGAGCAAACAACACAAAGTGACCGTCAAGTCAGTCGTTTCATTCATTTATTTTGATCATTCAGAGCTTCAGCACCTCTGCTAAGTCTCATGCCTAGAGAGCAGCGTTGTTTTTTCCTCCAGGTTTTAAACATGTTAGTTTATGAGATATAATGGAAACCCAAGATCGAGTAGCTGACCTTGTAGTGGTATGAAGTTCCTCCACTGGAAATGATATCTGACCTGATACTGTTTGATTGGAGTAGAGTATTATTCAATAAGTAAGCCCATAGTTGTCCTGGACAAACTATGTGTTGAGTATCTTGTTCCTAAATGATTTTATATGTGTGCTATATTTCCATAAAGCCATGTCTGGTCTCTTCCTAACGTATGTGCTGACGTCAGCTCAGATTGGCTGATTGTTGAACCATGTGGCTGAACCTAATGAGGAGTGCTTATAGGTGTTGTGTGTCCACATATTACTCATGTAATTTCAATTAAATGTTGTTATTGTAGCTGTTAAAACATTTTAAATACATTTTGGATCGAGTCACGCACCATATTATTATTATTATTATTATTATTAATAATATTATTATTATTATTGTTATTATTATTGTTATTATTGTTGTTGTTGTTGTTAATAAAAATGAAATGTGTCCTGAACTTTTACCCTCAGCTTCTGTCTGTGTAACATTTTAAGCATTTGAACAAAAAACCATTTGTAGAAATGATGTCATGGTTTGATTCTGACCTCGTTTCTTCAGGGGTTTCCATGCCGGCGAAGAGGAGTTTCGCACAGAGTTCAAAGTGCCTCCGTTCCAGGACTGCATCCTCAGCTTTCTGGGTTTCTCAGAAGAAGAGAAGGCCAACATGGAGGAGAGGACTCTGAAACATGGTTGGTGCCACCACACACGCTCTGCAGCAGCTGTTTGTATGGCTGTGGGTTTACCTGGCTGTAGTCAGGTAGTTCACCTGTAATACTGACATCATCAGCTCACACTCACGCTTTTTTCACTGGTGTTGTTCTTTGGGTTTGGAAAGGTGACAAAAGAGCAGCTTCCAAGTGTATTTTGTACACGTTATGTTTTACAAGAAGTCCAAACATGTTTCATCGTGTTGGGAAGTCCGTCCTGCTGTGGATAGTTAGCTTTACTGTGAATGTGCTCCTGCTTTACAGAAGGATCGACTCTGACATCCACATTAACGTTAGTCAAGCTGAACCATTTCAAACGTTAGTCAAGCTGAACCATTTCAACAACAGGGTTTCATATACACGTCGTTAAACATGTAAAGTAAGTTACAGATGGTTAATGATAAAGACACGTGATGTGGAGTGAGGAGAACATGAATCAGTCTGTGGTGTGAACACCAGGCACCGGGCAGGTAGGCTTCTTCTACCATAGTTCTTCTGTGAATCCAGACTTGGCGGCTTCTGTCTCTGTTCCCAGACTGACTCTGACTTTGACGTTGACTCTGCTGCGTATTGTTTGGGTTGTTTTCTTGTGCTGGGAATGAATTTTGGGCCACTAATGCCTCACTGCTGATTTGGATGGATAAAAATGTAAATACGCCCAAAACTCTCGGTCACTGCTGTACGTATATGGATCAGTTCTAATTCCAATTGTCTCCCTGTTTCTCTGTGTGAAAGGTGGAAGTCACCTGGAGGTTGGAGATGAAAGGTGCACACACATGGTGGTGGAGGAGAACTCAGTCAAGGAGCTGCCGTTTACTCCCTCCAAGAAGCTCTTTGTGGTCAAACAGGAGGTAGGCCTCGAGTGTGTGCTGATGTTTGTTTTGGTAAAAACGTAAAATGTTTAGTGAAATTCATATTGAATGACATTATATATTAAGAAAAGGCAAGTAAGGAAAATATGTGAGATTTTTGACCCACTTACTGTCTTTGAACAGCTCAGCAGACCTGCACAACAGCGTGTATACAGTACAATGCAGAAAGGGCTCATTTCAGTGCAGCTTCTGAACACAAGTTTGACACCTTTGTGAAGCTGGTCGCGTATAACTGGCATGTGCTGAGGTTTGAGGAAACCGAATGAGCATCTGATCAGGATTCTGTTTACATTAAACATTGAGGCTGCCTCTGCTTCTCCTCTCTCCGTCTGTGCTGTCAGACAGAGGGATCACTCATAGACTTCCTCCTCCAGTAGATGAATAAGTTGAACCAACGTAGTATGATGGTTTATCTTTACTTTTAACCCCACAATCAACTGAACCTTTTCTTGACTCCTCCAGTTTTATTGGTTGTCAGAGAAGTGTGTTCTTCAGTCACCTTTTTTCTACTTTCCTCTGTCGTCTGTCTTCTGTGGCAGTGGTTCTGGGGAAGCATTCAGATGGACGCTCGAGCCGGAGAGTCCATGTACCTCTACGAGAAGGTGAGTGCGTTATTGGTGTTATGCATTTATGTATAAATCTGAGCCAAATGTATAACGCAGAGGATTTTTATTCCTTCTTTGTGTTCACATTCTTTAGCAGCGTAGCGGCAGGGGATTAACCGTGTCTTTAAATTGTCTCCCTCACATTAGCTTTTTAGTACTAAGCACTTATATTTATGTTGTTCCTGTTTCACTGCTTCACTACTTTAATTCTGTTTTTCTCTTGCTTTTCCCCCATATCATAATTTGCAAAGAAAAGCAGCTTCCCCTGTTGCTGCTTTCTTATTTTGGTATTTATCTTGTCCTTGCATGTTCTTCTGTTTCGTCCCTCTGCGCCTCAGAACGACAGCCCAGCCATGAAGAAAGCCGTGTCCCTGCTGTCCCTCACCACCCCCAACAGCAACCGCAAGCGCCGCCGTCTGAGGGACACGCTGGCCCAGCTCACCAAGGAGACTGAGATCTCCCCCTTTCCTCCTCCACGCAAAAGGCCCTCAGCAGAGCACTCCATGTCCATTGGCTCTCTGCTCGACATCTCCAACACCCCTGAGACATGCAAGGTCTTGACAGGTAAGAGGATATCGATGGGGGAACTGGGAACGCCTGCTTTTACACAACCCTCCAAGCCTGATACGTGTTATACTGGTACATACTGAGAAGAAACATGCATCACCTTAGATTTCCTGTTGTTGTTTTATGGTTGATGTTTGTTCTTCTTCATAAGAGAACAACCTCTTCATTCCAGAGGACAGAGTAGGAGACAGTACTGTGACCAGAAATAGGATCAGGCCAAAGAAAACCAGGAGGAGGAGTAGGACAGGCAGGGAAGAGAGGAGGAGAAGGTCCCACCTGAGGACCTTCCAACCAGGAGAAGAGCAGCAGCAGCAGCAGCAGCAGAAGGACGGAGCTTCTGCAGGTTAGGTTAAAGAGTAGGACTGTGCTGAATCTGTCACCAGAGATGAGGCCAGTTCAAGGCTGATCTAAAGAAGATGTTGGAAGGACGGGAAGAACCGTATTGCATTGTATTCATTATGTCAGTTTGGCCGTGGAAACAGAAGCAGTGGATCGCACCAAGGCCAGCTGAGTGTAAAGGAAAGGTGTAAGTCTCTGGTTTCAGCTGGTTTCCTACTTGTCTGGTGGGTGATATCTGCCTTCTGCTCAGTCAGATGTCTGCAGGCGGGTCATTTTCTCAGTAGCCAGCCGACTGTCTGACTCGAGCAGGTTGGTTCCTGAATGAGTCACTTTTAGGCTGATTAAAGTGTGTGATTCTAATCAGACACCTTTTCATGAAATTCAGCAAACATCTTCTCCAGATTCACAGCTGTCCGTTCTCTGTGTGCTAAACTGAAAGTCAGGACTTGTAGTGATGTACACATTGTTGTACTGAAACATACCACATGACTGCACATGCAGGACGCTTTGCAGCAGAGTTCAGTTTGAAGCACAATCACTGTTTGTGTAATGAACACTTTCCAGATGTGTGTGATGGGGCCACACAGATTAATTATTATACAGTAAACTAGCAAACTTGTTTAGCTGTGACCCACAAGCATGAGAAACGTCCAAAGTGGACGATTATAAACTCCCAGAAAGCTGCTGTGCTTGGCTTGTGAGGAGGGTTCCACTTCAGACTGGATGCTCAGAGATCTCTTACAGACGTCTCTTCAGTTACCTGCACAAAACCATTTAGAAACCTTTAACTAACAGGCTTTTCATCGTTTTATCCTCCACAGACCTTTGCTTTCACGGCTGATATGTCAGAATTTAACAGACGTAGATCACTAATTCAGTAATGGCTGAGATTAAACTGGTGACTGTTATTTAGTTGGTATGTGACCATTTACTGGTCGTGACCCATATGTTGGCTGACTAGATCAAATTAAACAAAAAACAATGAATGTCAGATTAATATTTCAAATTTATCGACATAATTGTTCTGTCCAAATATAATTTAAAGTGATCAAATCTTATTATCCTCGTTTAAAAAATCCATTTGATGACTGATTGTAGAACTGAATTGTGAGAATCAAGATCACACCAGAAACAAAACCATAAACCATCCCTCTCATGAGGTAACGTTTTCCCAAATGGTTCCTCTGAAGCAACAAGGAAGGAACAATCTGGAGGATGTTCCCGTCTGCTGGGTCGAGTGTATGACGTGTCAGAATATGTGCACATCTGACTTCCATGAAGTCACCGGTAGTGTAGGTGGTGCCTGTACTGCACTACAGTACAGGCTTTTCAGACCTTCAGTGCAGTCTGCCGTCTTGCTTCACCCCTTAATTCATCATAATTGCTAAAAAATAGTGGATGGACACCTGGCAGCGTCTGCCTGCTACACTATTAAGAACTTTCTATCTCCTTCCCTGCCTGTCTTGTTCCTCCAGAGAGTTCGAAGCCATCCAAGAGTTCGACTCCAGTTCTTTCCAAGCAGTCAGCCAGGTGGCAGGTCTCCAAGGAGCTCTACCAGACTGAGAGCAACTACGTAGACATTCTGAGCACCATCCTACAGGTAGGTGTGTGTGTGTCTGTTCACACAGCGTGCACATCTCTAACGCTTCCTCACAGGTTGGCCAGCTGGTTGCCCCTGACAACAGTGTGAGGCTAAGCTATAATCATTAAAGGTGTGTGTGTGCGTGTGCGTGCATGTGTGTATTTGCATGCTCTGACTCGGCCTGTCTTATCAGTTAGTCCCAGCAGAGAGTCAGACAGCTGACCAGCGAGGGAGAAAATGACCTGCCTGGCCATTCCTCTTTCTGTCTCCCATTCAACATCTTTTACTCTTTTCACTTCTCTTCTTTATCAGCCCTAAATTCTGATGTTCCTTCCTTTTGGCTTCCTCTTTCTCTGCCTCAAACATTTATGCTAACGTTTGACTTTCTTGTAACCTGTCTCCCCTTTTGTATTCAGCTGCTCCTCATCATCTCATAGCATCTGGGTTTGAAATTTAAAGTACGGTGAGGCCTTGTTGTTGTGGACTTCTTTCTCTTAAGTCTCGCTGCAAAAATCCCCTCAGCGAAGCTTCTGTGGCGTTGTTACCACAACCTTTATCGGAGGAACTAAAAATAGACGTGATAATCTGTCTACGCTAATGAACCTCAGCATTTAACCCGCTGAAAAGTCAAGTGAGTGACGCTGATTGTTTCAGCAAAGGTTTCATGAGACAGCAGATGAACAGGCATGTCTTTATGCAGATGTGTTGGAAGCAGAAAAAACAGGCACCGTAAGAATCTCAGAGACTCTGACGATGACTAAACTGTGGTGACTTGACACCTGGCTCAGAGTGACGCCAGAATGGCACGCTGGTGCTGCAGGGATTCATCCCGACCACCAGTGGTCCAAAGAAGGACGACTGTTGAACCAACCCAATGGTCATGGGTGCCCACGGCTCACTGATGCACATGGGGAGTGAAGGCTGGCCCACAGAACAGCTCCTGTTAGGTACTGATGGGTTTGTAGAACATGAGGCTGAGATGAAGGTTGGACTTTCAGCATGACAGTGACCTGAAGCACACGTCTAAGACAACGCTGGAGTGGCTCCAGAACAGCTGCCCTTGAGTGGCCGAGCAAAGCCAAGACTTGAGCTCCAGAGAATACTTCCTAAAGTGACTTTATATGAGATAAAGTGCAGCTTTAGTTTAATATGGACTTGGTGCAAAAATCATAGATCAGCATCAGACGGGAACTCCTGGGCAAACTTTAAATGCATAGTAACGGTTTATCAGTTGCTCATTTTTCTTCAGCAGAGGCATTTCTGATTTAAATTCAGTAAAAGGCCTCTCTCCCTTCGCGATGTGATATGCCATGTTGAATTTGGCACAGAGCTCGGCTTCCTCTTCGCTACGATAGCGCTCTCTTGACCACGAAAGTTTGTGAGAAGACGAGTTTCTTCTGCAGGTCAGGAGTCCCTGCGCAGCTTCTTCTGATTGCTGCAGTGAAGTTAGTTGCTGAAAAGTTTTTAGCACAGAGAACATCGGATTCTGCTCAGCACAGCGCATCCCTTTCTTCTGTCTGCTTTATTTCGGCTGTGGATTTCCACTACCTACTCATGTCATTCTGCTCACTTTCATGTGCCCATGCATATGCAAATATGAATGCATGCCTGCCTGCTTGTAGCTGGATCTTTGACTACCATTTCTACACCAGACCACATCTGTGATCATTTTTATTATTCGTATGTGTGTCATTTTAATTTTTCCTGTATGTTTTACTATTTTTTTTTAAGTCCCTTTCACCTCAAGTAAAATTAGTCATAAGCCTCGAGGCCCCGAAAGCAACCTGAGGCCAACTGAAGGAATCAATACGTTAGGCTGCGTTTTGTGAAGCCATGCATATAAATTATGAGTGTGGAGACATGCTTATATTCACTCTCCTACCAGAGCTCAATGCTTTGGAAGTGCATCTTATTTCTGTTCTGAGTTTTTTTTTTTTGTTTTTTTGTTTTTTTCATTGAACATTCTTAGTCAAAGTTTTTAAACTCATGCTGTTGCCAAGCGAGTTCACACAGGGTTGATTAAGCCTGTCGGTGCCAAGGGGAGCTCTCTGCCTATCACAGTGTAGTAGACGTTTAAATCTGGTGCGTATGGTGACATTCTCACACTGGCACAGTAGCAGCAATGGATTTTATGTAAACTGGAAACTGTAGTGATGGAGCAGACCTCAGTAACTAGGAGGTACAACATTAGAAGTCTCCAAGAAAAGTTTGTGATGTTCAGTATTGAAACAGAACAGAAAGAGTTTTAAAGTCTGCAGAAAATATATCATATGTATGAAGCACGTGTCAGCAGTGTGACTGATCTCCTGGAAGCAAAAGTTGTGCACGTTCACCTGTTCATTTGTGCACTTTTGTTTATTTTCATCTTAAGCTTTTCAAGCTCCCACTGGAGAAAGAGGGGCAGGTCGGGGGACCCATCCTGGCGCAAGAAGAAATGAAGACGATATTTGGCAGCATTCCAGACATCTATGAGGTCCACACCAGAATAAAGGTAGCGAGTCCTTACCTGCTTGTGCCACAACCAAGTTTAGAAAAAAACAATAAAAAGTCATTGTTGACCTGTTGGTTTGTTGATCAGAGTGACCTCGAGGAGCTCCTGTCAGACTGGTCAGAAGGCCGCAGTGTTGGAAACATCATCCTCAAATATGTGAGTTCAGCGTTCACACAGGAAGTCCATTTGGTTTCTTCTGATGTCGCCGTCACACGTCCGTCTGCTTGGGGCTGTAACGTGGTTGTTCAGTGTGTAGTTTTGAAGTTCTTCTGTGTTCCTAAAGTGGAGTCCAATTACTTAGAAAACAAGAGAGTGTTAACTCGTGCCTGTAGTTAGTCTGGATGCTTGTTTACAGCAGCTGGAGAAGGTCAAAGCCGCTGATCAGGCGCTGTGCGAGGAATGGATATAAATATGGTGGCATTTCAAACTATGTGATGACAGTAGCTTGAAAAGAACCTAAAACAAAACAATTGTTTTCCTCCATTGTCGAACCACTGTCTGGTATATGTGTGAGTCTTCCTCTTGATGCTTTGCTTTATTTAAATCTTCTCTGTTTCCAGTCCAGAGAGCTGGTAAAGGCCTACCCCCCATTCGTCAACTTCTTTGAAATGAGCAAGGAGACCATTGTTCGGTGTGAGAAACAAAAGCCACGCTTCCATGCATTCCTCAAGGTGAGACTTCTGCATGTGAGCAAAATGTCTGTTTACTGACTGATGGATTTCACGACCTCCGGACCTCAGAGCTGCTGGTCTGCTGCTGTTGGAGAGCTTCTCTGTCAGTGTCTTGTACAAGTAAAGGGTTACAGTCCCTGTAGTTATTTCTCAAACGTCATGTAAATGACGTTGGTGTCCGTAACAGAAACCTGCTCTGTCTCCTGGAGAATGTTGATGTTTTAGTTTGGTTTTTGTTTTTATGTGTTGGACAAAAGACTTGAGACAGTGAAGGTAACGCTGTGACACCTGAGGATGGGATGGAAGGAAAACCATTACACACAGTGCAGCATCCTTCTGTTTAACCATCTGAACCCAAACTACCTGTTGGCAGGTTTGAAGAGCAAATTATATTCAAGAAGTTTGCGACAGTTTGCATGTACAGAATTGTCCCCGCCCTTCAGTGACTCCTCTGTGCAGTGCTGTTCCATCAGGACGCTGATTAAAATCTAAGCTTAAAGTTGTCGTCAGAATATTTGTACTCTGCGTGTCTAATTTAACAGTTCACTAAAAATAACTTGAGCCTCAGACCTCGTGACAAACAAAACTCTGCGTACTCGGTGCAGCTGTGAAGCCATCAGGGACAAACATTCAGGGACCTCAGGACTGAACCAGGCTTAGCTGCAGCCATGAGCAGAAAGGAGACAAGTCAGAAATGTTAACCGGAAAATATCTATAGGATGTGTAGCCACCTTTCTTTTCAGTGTTTGTGACACCTGGGGACTCTGAAAAATGTTGGTTCCATTGTTTTGTAAAACAAATACAGACATTGAGTTATGGACTATAGTTGTATTTTTTACTTTTTCTTTTTTGAAGATATTTTTTGGGCTTTTCCGCCTTTAGTGATAGTGACAGTGAAGCTAGACAGAGAAACGTGGGGAGGAGAGCGGGGGAATGACATGCAGCAAATGAGCTGCTGGCTGGAATCAAACTGCGGCCACTGCGTCGGGGATTAAAGCCCCTATACATGGGTTAGCCGCCGAGCTATCCGGGCGCCCAGACTATAGTTGTATATAGTTGTATAGTTTGTCTGTCATGTGCAGCTTTTTGTTTGCTGTGACCAGAACATGCCCCGTCAGTGGGTCGACTGGTGTTTACAGTGTAATGGTGTGATATTTGGAGAACAAAAGACTTTTTGTACGGATAAACTTGAGCTAATTGATCTTTTTGTGAGCAGTTTCAGTGTGATGCATAAACAGGCACAGATGTGACACTAACTCTCTGGTTGAACAGATCAACCAGGCCAAGCCGGAGTGTGGCCGGCAAACGCTGGCGGAGCTGCTCATCAGACCGGTGCAGAGGCTGCCCAGTGTGGCTCTGCTGCTTAACGGTAACTCATTCACTCCTCTGACATCCCTCCTTGTCTTTATCTTTCTCCTTCCCTCCCTGCCACCTTCTTCCATTATCTCCCGTTGATACCTGTCTGTAATTTCTCTTCCTCTACATTCTTTGCCGCTCGCCTTTCTCTGTGATTTCCATCTGTTCGTGCCCATCTATTTCCTATAAAACTTCTCTTTTCTTTCACCGCTGCAGACATAAAGAAACACACATCAGATGACAACCCAGACAAGATAACGCTGGAGAAAGCAATCGAGTCTCTGAAAGAAGTCATGACGTGAGTTTGCGTGACCTTAACCTTTCCTTTGTGATCACCTCACAGCTTTCGTGACTGAATTATTCGAGCAGTAAATTGCTAAGTATTTTGTTTTAATGGTGTTTAGTAGGAACCAGTGCTAGAAACCAGAAGTAGAGCTGCACCTAGCACTTATGTTTCTTGACTTCTTGATGAAGACCAAGGCAGATTAGTCGAGCCTTGAAAATGTTTTTATTTCTTTCCAATAATTTCTATTATCGGCCAACTAATTGATTTATTTGCTCGTTGATTCATTACTGACATGACTTTCTTCTACTCTGACGTCTCTCCTAGTCACATTAATGAGGACAAGAGGAAGACCGAGGGCCAGAAGCAGATCTTTGATGTTGTTTATGAAGTCGACGGCTGTCCGGTAAGCGTGTGTGGTTGGACAGACCACGAGCTGTGATCTTTCTATTCATGTTATCCCACAAGTCCTGGCTGTGCAGATCAGTAGTTATACATGTAAGCAGATATTCAGCCACTCAGGTGGTTTCAGGGAACATTTAAATCTGTTTTCTCCACCTGCCCATCTTATTAGCCCAAATAAATTACAAATACACATAAAATACTGTGATTTTTTTAATCCTGTTTTTTTGTATAAGATCAAGTATGTGTGACTTCTGAGTATTTAGAATATCCTTTTCAAACGTACAGCTCAGATGGAGTACAGCTTTAGCTATGTGTGGCCTCTGGTCCAGTAGAAAGTACTTCCAGTGTAAATACTCGTCTCCATTTTTGACTGTATTGTATTCATTATTTAATAACTGAACTGTGATAAGATTGTAAAATGAATTACATGCAGGAATAGTGATGGTTCTGGGGTGGGATCAACAGTAAGCAGAGACAAACAGCTGGGTCAGGTCGGTGGCCTGTAGGTGTGAGTGACTGGTGGCCGCCTGCAGGATACAGAGATGAAGGGTTGCTCAGCCATCATCCCCTCTCCACCCTCCTCCTCTCCTCATGCTCGTCTCTCTGCAGGCCAACTTGCTGTCCTCCCATCGCAGCCTTGTTTACCGAGTAGAGACCATCGCTCTGGGAGACCAGCCGTGTGACCGTGGAGAGCATGTGACGCTGTTCCTCTTCAACGACTGCCTCGAGGTGAAAACACACTGGTAGACTTCTGACTGTACACAGGACACACTCACAGCTCACACACTGCTTTTATGTCTGACCATTATCTAATGTGAAGGTTTACCTGCTGACCTGACCTGAAGCTGTCTTTAGCTCTCACCTGCTTTTACACTTACCTGAAGAATCTCATTTGATTGTCTACACGTTGTTGAATAGGACTCTGACATTATGCAGCTAAATGAAATCCAAAGTTCGTACATTTGCTCACAGGAACAAAGTGCGTCTGCTCTAGAGTTTTACCAACTTTGGCCTCCAAATACCAACAGAGGGCCATCTGTATGACACGAACCATCAAGGAAATGGAAAGCTACGGATTTCAGAAGCTTCAAACCTAGTTAGCCGGTACAAGTAGCTTCAGCTTTGGGAAAAAATGGCACAAGGAGTAAGAAACAGTGCTGAGGAGCAACAGGAAGCTACTGGGTACACTGGTCGGCTCAGACTGTTGGACCTCACTGTATGTGATATGAATTCATCAGTTTGGTCAGTTTTAACCACATGAATGTGTAGCTAAGCCACGTCAGAGTCCTGTTTCCACTGCTTTAAACTCGCCGTCAACGAGCCGCTGGTGCTTTGTATTAAATGGTTGTACAGGAGCACTGTTGTGATGACTTTTGCATTAAATGCCGTAGAGCTGTAGTTAAATATTGTCAGAGCAGGTTCGGCTGCATCGTAGCCTACCATCTTATAGTTATAATACTGGTATTTACTTTAATGTGTTGAATCCACCAGGGTCGTTCTTATTCATCAAGGACACTGTCGCCCATGTTGGATGATTTACTGATATACGTTTGCAGTAAAAATGAAAGTGTTGGTGTTAAAACTTAAAATAACACAAACTCCAGTAAAACATTAAAATGCCTTTTTCATTTTATGTCCCATTTAAAGAAAGCTTTTTGAAACCCATCCATCGGTGTTGGTGGGTTCTGACTTGATCTGAATGTGTTTGATCAGGAAACAAACAACATCTGTACTGATAATCAGACAAAGGCTGAATTCTGGATCCAATACTTATAGCCAAATAGCCGAAAACCCATCAGCCCCCAGGAGAGTTTTGTTTAGGCGGAATTCAGAATTAGATATTGCACTGGATTTATTCAGCTTTTACTTTGGCCTGATGATAAGGACACGGAGACTCTGTGTTCTCTAAAATGCTCCCAAGTGTCCCTACCGTAATGTCTGGACTATGAGCCGCTACTTTGTCCACACGCTCTGAACGCTGAGGCTTAAACAACGAAGCGGCTTATTTATGGATTTTTATGAATTCACCTGGAGACCAAAGTGACGCTGAGAGCGACGACGACAGAGAGACTGAGGAAGTGATGAAGTGATTCTGAGGCTGTTCAGCTCCTGAAGACACTGAAGAAGACGACTTTAGTGGTTTTAGTGCAGGAGGAAGATGAAGATAGCCATCAGTGACTTTTCCTGGTAGCTGCTGGAGTTTTATTTCCTTAACCAGCCGTGTTACAGGAAGTGTTCAGAAAAAAGCCTCTACGGTACGTATCTGTGGATGTTACCGCTACGCATTTAATTAAAGGTTTAAAAATAAATATCTCTTGTTCCAACGTGGACACCTGCAGCTTAGAGACCAGAGCAGCCCGTATATGTACACACCTGGTTTTCTCTTTAAAGTCAGTGGGTGGAGCTGATATTCAGGTGCCTCAATAGTCTGACCATTACGGTACTCTGTAAAGCCCAGGGTTGTACAGTTTAACTTAGGGCTGGGCGATGCAGAGATTACTTTATTTCAGTTGATATAATCAATAATTATTGAATTTTAAAGTCATTGAAAGCATAAGAATTTTTTTTAAATTTGAATTGTGGCCCCTTCAGGCTCTTTATGGAGGTACAAGGTGTGATTCTACCAAACTGTTGTCTAGTTGTGTAGCTGAAGTGCCCGCTGCCACCACGATGTGTGTTTGGGTAAAAATAGAAAGCAGCCTGGAGCTTCAGGGGTAATGGGTGACTTGCCCAGCATGTCTTTAGAGCCCGCTGTGCAAGTCTCACACTAATTCACGTGTGATTCACTCTGTCACTGCTGACACAGGAAGTGTGTGTGTTAATTAGCAGAGGGTCAGCATAAGAACACGCAGGCAATCATGAAAGCGACGAGGTGAGTGGCTGCGCTGATTCAGAAGCTTCAGCCACACCTCCCAATGAACCTGAACAGCTACACACATTGATTTCTGCCGCTTGCTTCTGTATGTATTTATGTATATAGGATGACTGTTGGAGTGGGTGGCCTCGCTTCTCTCTTCCATCATCATCAACCATTGATTAACTCTTGCATTAATATAATCACAGCTACCCTCTTCACTCACGCTGGAAAAATAATAATGACCTAGGCTATAATGTAGTGTTGTATTTTATCCTCTCCCCATCTACCTCCCTTCCTCCCTCCCTCCTCTATCTTGGCCTCTCAGCTCCTAATTAATGTGACATTAATGAGTTGCATCGTTTACCTCTATGAAGGCATCATTGATTTATTGCCAAGTAACCGATAACAGCTTCACCCACACACTGCGAAGCGCGCCCACACTCGCAGGATGCTGCTTGGAAGTTGACTTTGTTCACACTTACCTCCAAAGTTGCTGTCTCATTTTGTGCATCTCTACAGATTGCGAGGAAGAGACACAAGGTGATCAATACATTTAAGAGCCCGCTGGGACAAACGCGACCGCCGCCCCCGCTGAAGCACATCGCCCTGATGCCACTGTCTCAGATCCGAAGAGTGCTGGACCTGCAGGACACCGAGGGTAACGTTACAGCTTGCCAGACTAGGGAGGATGTTTTATTATCTTCTCTCACTCTGCACTCCATCCTACGAAGCCAGAAAGTGATTAAACACCCTTTGTGTCCCTGTGATACAGCAAAATGTTAGAAACTGTCACGCAATCAACCACAATTAATCGCAGCTTCTCAGTGTGTCCATTCAGGGATGGTCCACGTTCTGAGCATCGAAAACTAATCAACACCCAAATTATGCTTTTGTTTTTTGTTTTTTAAGACCCCATAGCCGACATGAAAGTCACTGCAGGTGTAACGACACTTTGGTAGTTTTGTTGTTCACCAAATGGTTGGTTTACCAACTTCCAACTGAATGAAAGCTCTGCTTTGCAGTTTCTCCAAGTCTGCCTTCAAACACCAGTCAAGAGCCCGTGTGAGCAATTAAACAGACTCTGCTTGCTGTTATTCCTGCTTCTCATTCATGTGTGTTCAGCAGAATGTTGCTTTTTGGTTTCCGTCCGTCCACAGCACTTCTACAACCACAAAGCTAAAAAGCCCATTAACTTTAGAAAATACATATTTGATTAGTCCGACTCAGACAGTCGAAGCCTCATTAGATCAACACGACACGTTGCAGCGACAAGCTGTTAACATGCTATTCACACAGTGCTTTTCCCCTTTATTTAGACATTTTTTAAGGGTGCTGTATAGAGTTCATGGAAAATGAGCCGTAAATCTAGTGCCCTATACAGTAAACACAACTTTTTAAAAAGTGCACGAGTGTTCATCGTCATGTTAGGATGTTACTAATGATGACGGCAGCTCAGTGATTTTTACCTGAACGAACAACAACAACGCTGCTCTTACAGGGCTTGACAGCAATCTGTTCCCCCCCTTTAGCAGCTATTAGTCCTGCTTTTAATTTTATTAATTACAAACACACTGTGTCTCTGGTGTGCAATCTCCTGCTTTGATTAAAAACTAGTGCTGCTATCAAAATACAGCAGCATAAATATGAAAGTGAGAGGAGCAAACAAAAGAGAGATGATGGATTTACCTACCAGAAAGAAGAATATTAGTGAAGCCAAGCAGTACTGACAGAGCAGCAGGACCTTCAGTAGGCCCTGAGAGGATCGAGTGCAACAAGACACTGAATGGCTGACAGACAGAGGTCGTGTGTTGACAAGGCTACGGACCTTCCTCTGGCCTTTCTCATCAGGAGAGGTTCTAACTGTAGACACAGTTAGGTAGGTAGGGACTTACCTTCAAGATCTGGTCTCATTTGCAGTGCAGCAGACAAAGCTTGGAAATAAATGGCAAATGTAATATCTATAGTATTCATTGTAGAGATGAAACCTTTTAAAAGTGTTTGTCTGTAGTTCTAACAGTTGAGACGCTGACATGCTGTCAGTCTGAAAACAAAGTGACCTGTTCAATCAAAAGACTCGCTCAAAAAACAGCAAGCAGGCAACATCTGGGTGGTAGAATTGTACCAAGGAACAATGTTTTTCTGTCATTTGTCAACGCTGAGTTCATCATGCATGTGTTAGGATGGTGACTGGACCAATACCCACGGTGTGTCTGCTGCCCTGTGGCATGCTGTAGCTGATAGACAACACCGTCTGTGTGGAGCTCTACTCTGGACTACGCAAACATAAACCTACTGTTGTGACAGTAGCTGTCTGGATCACGTTGCTGAACACACGTACCTTAAACCCCTGATGCCTTCATCATAGCCATCACTTTTTTCAGCTTTTCTCTTTCCAACTGCTCCTTCCCTTTCAAGATCCTCCCTGATGATCCTTTTCTATCTCGTTCTCTTCATCTCAATCCCTTCACTGGCTGATTTCCCTCCCTTATGTTTGCCACTCTTAATTATCTTCACTCTCGCTCTCTAATCACTGTCTGTCCTTCTCTCACTCTTTTTGGCTTCCTTCCTTCAGAGTGTGTGAATGCCTTCGCCTTGGTGGTTCGCCCTCCGACTGAACAGGAGAACTTGTTGTTCAGCTTCCAGCTGACTGGAGAGGAAACGGTTAAAAGCGCCTGGCTGCGAACACTTTGCCGCCATGTCGCCAACACCATCTGCAGGGCTGACGCGGTGAGAAGCCACACACTCACACACACAAAGGGAAGATAATGGCTAGTTTGACACATGGGCTGGCGGGGGGGAAGCTGTGAGAGCTCTGTCATCCTCAACAACTTTCTCACAGGAAGGTCAAACTTTTTTTTCCCCCTTGCAAAAACAAATTGATCCAGTCTTGGTTTCATCACCGTCATCAGGCTCAAGAAGAGCACACAATACTACTGGTGGTAAAACAGGAAGTCACACAATACTACTGGTGGTAAAACAGGAAGTCACACTATACTACTGGTGGTAAAACAGGAAGTCAGATGCTCTCGTGCATCATAGCTGATGTAGAGCTGACGTCACTTATAAGGAGTAAAGAGGTGACCAAGCAAACAAAGACAATAATAATGAAGCCTAACGAAAACAACTCAGCAATATGAAAGGTAGTTAGTTTGCCTAAATAGACAACATTCTAAAAAATAATCTGCAAACAGGAAGCCTAGACAGACTGAGGAGGCCTGAAGAAAATGATTTGTAGAGCAAGGAAAGAACAAAACTTCCTGTTTCTGCACAGCCAGTCCAGAAGGTTCTGGGATACCGCTGTGTGTTTGTTGATGTGGATCAGGAGAAGACTTCATATCAGTAGAGTCTCATGTGACCTCCTGGCCAGTCTGAAAACAGGAAGGTTGCAGTTTGTATAATCATAACAGAACCCACAGAACTCTGGAGTAACGTTTTATGGATGAAACTAAAATGTGCCTCTTTGATAAAGATGTATCCAGGAATGTGTGAATGACAGAAGCAGCTCCTCATGACACCTCACCTGTCACCTGAACTGCCACACTGCAAGCTGATAATGATGTCACTGCTGACGGAGCCAATAGGAATGCAGAGGTGTACCAGAGTTTAACCTCATTGGACAGCATGTCACCATTCAGCAGGAATAAACTGTTTTACAGCAACCAGATGAGCCACCGCTCCAGTTAAAGGCAAAGAGACCCCACAAACTAGAGCGAAAGCTGCTCAGACTTTAGGCCTTGCAGAGTATCACAGGGGAAGTGCTTGGCCCAGGACCTCATGCAGTCATCGACTGCAAAGGATTTTCCACAAAATAATAATTTGTGGTTGACTTTATGTGTTACGGTCCAAACATCGTTCAGCTGCTTTTATATTTATGTAAATCCGCTGGCGTTCTAACTGACACTTGGCACTTTGGTGTCACTTCCAATATTTTATTTTGTACTGAATCTGCTGAGGCGCTGAGTCTGAACAACAAAAGATGTGTAACTTTGAAAACAACGTTCGTCTGTCCACGCAGACCTACTGTCTACTGTTTATGCTGCTGGTTCAGCTTGGTTTCATTCAGTCTGAGCTGTGAATCAGCGGTAGCGTGGATGTAGACATGCTGCTGGACTCTGTAAGCTGCTACTACATGAAAACCAAACCTGAGCACAAACTCTTTGTTTTTAAGTAGCATCATTACAAATGTGTTCCTCAGTTCTGTATTTATATGTCAGAACGTGGGCTCTGTCCATGTGAAATAAATCAGTGAATATTTAGTTTGGCAAAAGGCAAATAGTGAAAAACATACAGTTCTAATAAATACAGTAAACAGGCACTCATGAAGTAATTCTGTGTAATATGTATGGACTGAAGTTATAGTTTGGAGAGGCAGCAGACGAGTGAGTGTTCATGGTAGTAAAGAGCATGTCACCAGCACCACAGTGACTCACTGATGGTTCATAATAGTGTTTGTGCCACCACAGTAGTACAGGCCACACGAGCAGGACCAGTTGTACTCATGGTCCTCTCACTTCTCCTGTGAGGCAGATTAACAACTTTGTCATTTAATGGTTTGAGGAAATTATTGAAAACTAACTTGTCATAGTCTGATTCAGCGCAATGATTATTAAGCTTTGCTGCAAGACCTGGAGGTGGGAAGGTGTCATTTATGGAGGCCAGCAGCAGGGGGCGATGTTGGCCTCTGGTTAGCCTGCCACCTCACAGCTGCATTCCTAATGCTTTTTCACTGGGTCAGCGCTGCAATGTGAATACCAACGAGACAGAGCGCTGCTTGTTAAGAAGCCCACTGCAGGGCGAGGGGAGAGGAATAAAGCCTGAGTGTGACTCCACAACACTTCCCATCCTGCAACTGTTCTGGCAGAATGATGTGTCCATCTGTGCTTATCACATGAAATGTACTCTTCAATGCATGACTTCTAAATGGTGTTTGATGTGTTTGTTTGTCTTCTGACCAGGAGGACCTTATTCAGTGTACAGACCCAGACTCACTGCAGGTCAGCACCAAGGATATGGACAGCACGCTGAGCAAGGCCTCCAGGGCCATCAAGAAGACCTCCAAAAAGGTAAACACAAAACAGCTGGCTTCTCGTGACTGATTATCCCAAGTACAGGGGCCATGATAGCATGTGTACGTACACCTACGAGCCAAGCATTGGTTGAAGTAAAGCTGCCCTTACATTTTACAGAAGCCCCTGAGCTGAGTCAGATGTTGTCAGATCACTGCTGTAAACCCTGACAGAGCCAGGCCTGCCTCCGAAATACCAACATACAGAACTGACTGTGATGGAAATAGAGAGAGCTGATGGAAAGGGAGAGCAGTGTGATGCAGAACAGTGGGATTTGTTTCCTTCTCTGTTGGCAAATCTACTTTTAAACCAGATTTTCCTCTAACCGCCTCTGCTGGCGTCCAGCATGTTGTGAGTGTCTGCAGCCACGCCACAGAGGTGTCTCCACAACCTAATGCAGTGTTTAGAAGGCACAAACAATGCATCGACAAGAAACGGAACGAACCACACCGACATGAGAAGCTTAGAAAGAACTCAGGTTCATGAATGAATGTCCTTTATTGGCTGTACACGTGCGTTACATTAAAACTGTAGCTCCTAAATGCACAAATTATCTTCTGTACATAGACACACGAATGAAGTCACACTCCGACATCAAGTGCAAAGTATTCCCTATGATGTAGCCGTGCAGACAGAAAACAGTGGGCTGGGAATCTTTTGAACCAGCAGATGAAGGTGTGTGTGGAAAATATATCCGACTTTAGAGCTGCTTAAAGAAACGCTTCCTAGTGAGAGCAGTGAAGGTTAAAAACTGAAGAAAGGAGCAGAGTTTCTCACTAATGTGTCTGTTTCTCTGTTAGAAAGTCGTCTGCTCTGCCTGGTTTAGAATATGATGACTGAAACATCTGCAGAGGCCGGTGGCTAGTCGCTGCTATTTAACTAATAAAGGCACATCATGATGGCACGACTGCTAACAACATGTTTGGCCTAATATACAGACCTTTGCCACATGCTGATTACGTTCAGTAGCTGTCAAAAAGGCTAGCAGCTTTGTGGAAATAAAGATAGCACTAGATACACTAGATGAGCCGTGCCTCATCCAGGCTAGACGGGTGTTATTTTAGGTTTGATATGACAGTGATTATCAGACCTGAGCTCACTCAGGGAAGAATAATTAGTTCAGCCCACACAATTAAAATAATCTGACTAAAATCAGTTATTTGAGCTCATGAAGGTGCCGGCACACACAGTCAGCTCATTGGCTCAACACCTTAACCACCTCACCTGTTAATGATGCCTGACAGGTAAATCTGCCTTCATGCAGGTGTTTCAGTACAGAATCATGCCAGTTTGGCAGCAATGTGAGGACAGAACCAAACTAGAACCAGGCTTTCAGTGTTTGAGTCAGCACCAGAGAGCTGTCCAGTTTATTTTAAGTACAGAAGGTCTCTTCTAAGTCAGATCATACAGAGAATAAACCGTTCATTATGAATTTTAATCTGCATGTTGTGATCAACCTTTGGTCATGTAGGTTAACAATACAATGAAAGGACAGGAGATGATTCACCGAGCTGAAGACAATCTAATGCTGGAACCAAACCGTGAATAGAAAGCCTCCTCATAATCCATCCATCCATCATCTATACACCGCTCAATCCTCACTAGAGTCACAGGGGGGCTGGAGTCCATCCCAGCCGACCCTCCTCATAATGATATCCTTAAACCATAAGGACTTGTGGCATCCTTCTTGTCGTGTTTTTGTAATTATCGTTAAGAAGGCAGGAATGAAATATAAGCAACAGGAAGCAGGCTGCACTCTGGTCCTGGAGGCTTCTACATGTGTTTTCCAGACCATGTAACGCCTGCTACAGATGGTTCTCTGGCAACACAAGTGCAAGTGATGTGTTGTATGACTGTGTTTGGACAAAGTAAACCAACAACAGGTTCTATAGGATCCTCAGCAGAAACGTATTAGTCGCTAACATGTTCTCTGTGTGTGTGCCAGGTGACCAGAGTGTTTTCTTTCACCAAGACGCCAAAGCGTGTGATCCAGAGAGCCTTCCTGGCCAACAGCACTCCCGATGAGAAAAGCCAGAGGCTGAGTATTGAGAACCGCGTCGGCAGCAGTTCTACGCTCGCTGTGAGTCTGAAGGAATCGTTGGTCTTTTACTGGCAAGAGTTTTGTTCATGATGTGGTCACACTGGTTAAACTAGTCTTATTATTAAACATCTATAAGATCCACAAATGTAGCAGCAGGTGTTGTTGCCATTCAGAAGGACACGATCCACCATGATCCAGGTTTCTGTGACTAACCACCTCTCTGTTTTGTTTACTACATGAAGTCTACCTCAGGGATCAGGATGGGTTTCCTACATTTACTAAACGTCTGCTCGGTGTCCTTTACATTAACACAGTCTGTAGATGTTCTGGCTCAGTGTCTGCACCAGGAAAGGCCAACTCCTGCTTTCCCCGTGTTGAGGGTCTGTGTGACATAAATCATAAATCAGACTTTATTTCTACCGACTGAAAACCAAACAAGTGCTTGTAGTGAGGAGAGGCTAACCACGCTTTTATGAATCGTCTTAAGGAGAGCTGTGATGTCTGCAGGACTTTGGAGGTGCTTTAAGTTGTACATGCTTTCCACAAAGTTCTAAGTTCTCCAGAAGTCCTGTGCTGTGTCCAAACACTGCTCTGAGGAATAATTACAGGCCAGTCTGCAGCTATCTGCTGTGTACAGTTACTGCCAGCCTTTGAAGGCATTCACAGCTCCGTTTCATGTTCAGTATGAAGGACAATGTGACCGTCTGAGGTCCATCACACCCCTATTGTAGCATGAATAGAACATCGGCACCAGTCGGCACCAGTCGGCCTACATGGATGCAGAAACCAGGAGTTGGCCTTGAGAGCTAAGAGCTCCTCTGTCTCTCTGTCCATTTATCTGGTCCTTATTGCCTTTCTGTTCCCTCCATCTCTTCCTCCTTTTGCTGAAAACCAGACAATTGATCTCTCTCCATCAATCCACGATGGAGCAGCTTTCAGTCCGTTTCACTTGCTTTCATCTAACTTGATTAAAAAGCAGGAAAGGCTTTTGCTCTTCTGTGTGCTCAGACCTGGTGCTCTGTTGTTCACCTGGTTTCCTGTTTTCCTTCACTTTTTGTCTCATGGGCAGTGTTTTCATGGTTAATGTCGTAATCATGTCATTAAACAAGTGGGTGTGAAGTAGAGGACGGCTTGGAAATGTTGGGAGATGAAGAAAAAACTAATTCTCTAGTTATTCACACGTTTGATGAGTCACTCAGATAACGTCTTACCGTCTTTCCATTGACACAAGGATGTGAATGCAGCTGTATTGCAAAATAGTTACAGGATGAATATTAAAAGACGTGTATTTTGTAGGCTTTTGGTCGTACTAATGCATACAGTGAGGGAATTACGACCACAGATGCCGTAATTATAAGATGTATAAAGCCTTCTATAAAACCTATTCATGGAAAAAACAACCTACATGCACAAGACTGGTTTGTCCCTTAAATGCATTTTATATTCTGAGTCCACGGCGGAGTTTAAACACATCCATCCACTCCATCACCTGTTTGCATACAAATAGTTTTATTCAACCATGGCTGTGGCTGTTCACACCTATGATTCATCCGTTCTGCTTCTAGATTTAAACTGGCATTGATTTAGTTTTATTCTTTGTCGATTGTCAGACATCAGTTCTTGGTTTGGTTCAAATGCTTATTCTAAACAAAAAGAACCCAAACAAATGAAACTGCACTCCTCACTGTGGATTAAAGATAAATATACACATAAACAGTAAATGGTTTTCAGAAGTGTGTAGTTGATTGGTGCATATTGTATAGAAAGCTGTGCAACGACTGATATCTGCAAACGGTTTCAACAATTACACGTTTGTCTATATGTGAAAAACAGCTTTCTACCAAGACAAAGGCAAGAATGACTCTGAGCTCAAGCTGAGATTAAATCAATTTATAATTTACAAAGACGCTCCATCAGTATGTATTTTATAGGCTTTGGATGATTCCTAGTCAACCATAAAAGCAGAGTGGGTTGTGTTGTTTTGCCACGTCCTTTAATACAAACAGAGCATGTTCATAAAAGACCTTTAGAGGGACGGACGCTCGCCTCTGTTTTTGTCCCTTTTGCCTAATTTGCAAAACAATGGTCGCTTGATCTCAGGCAGAGGTAGAGACGTGAGCAGGCTTCTCGTCTCCAGCTCAAAACAAATGCTTTCTGCTGCTGAGTCTGTCGGCTGCAGATAGGAAGCTAACTCAGGTAAAGTGTTGAAACCTGCTGTTTTAGAACAAGGACCCAACAGCTGCAAAAGGGACTTGAACAGGCTCTTGGTGGTCAGGAACATTATGTCGTGCTGAAAGACCAAGGTCAGCATCCTCATCAATCACCAGCTGATGGACAGTTTTTCTGAGGCCTGATCTGTAAACACCGATATTCAGCAGCTTCTAAAGACGAGCTCCAGCCTGGACAGAACCCACTGGTTCAGATCGTTTGTACCAACTTGTACAGGCAGAATAAAAGGAATCGGAGGTATAAAAACAATGAATGCAGTCTGGACTGTGCCTGTTCAGTCACTGTTAGAGTGACGGTCCAGTCATGTGCTGGTTGATAAAGACACTGATTACAAACGAACCAACAATGAACAGTCCAGGCGCCTGTTTGCTTGTGTGTTTACCTACAGTATTGGTCTGCTCTACCCTCTGATGAGTTCCTGTGTCCTTGCATCGTATCCAGAATGTCTGTCTAGTCTGTCTCATGATGTTCTCCATGTGTCTCCCTCTGTTATGTGCTCCAGATGTCTCGCTCTACCTCCACGTTCAGTCTGAGTGATTCTGCCAAGAGCAGTGCCGTGGTGCAGCGCTCTAACTCTCTGGACCACCCTCCTGTCAGAGCCAGGGTTCCCGTCAGTATGCGTCCCCCCTACAGCCCAGTCCAGAACCCTGTCCCTTACCAAGGCCCCAGCGCTGCCCCTGACTACAGTCCATCAGTGACCCAGCCAGCACAACCTCAGCCGGGCCTCCCCGGTCCCCCACAGTCCACCTCTGTAGCCCATCCTACTCCCATCTCAGCTGTGCGAAGCTCCGCTCAGCTCGCCGCTAAGAGTTCCCAGCCCAAACCCAGCCAGCAAATGTCCAGACTCGTCTCCTCTGTAGGATTCCAGCCAAAGTCCTCAGCTCCTCACCCCGTTAATGCCAAAGGCTGGATCTTTTCTGAGTCATGCAGGGATTCCCAAGTTCCTTCGGATCCACGCAAATCCGTCCTGAGCAGTCCTCGCAGAGAGACTCTGCTCTAGGCCGGCGCTGGCTCGGTCCTGGACTCTGATGTGAGCAATCAACTGCTGTCTAGTCTCAACTAGGGGTGCACCAACACCATTTTAATGCCAAATGATTCTGTGTGACTTGCTGTGTGATCTGCTTTTTAACCACTGGTGCATTTCTAGTCCCAAATCAACTCCTTAGAAGCTCAGACCCTGCAGCAGTGGTAGATCCACATCAGGACCGCAGCTGAATCTGGTCTGGACGATACCAGGAGAGCAGAAACATTCAAGTAGCGTCGGGGTAACAGTTCTGTCCTCTGAGGATGGGCATCAGTGTGAAGGGCAGAGGTTTTAAGGGTTGATTTGGAACAGCTGCTCCTAAACATGACTTGGCTTACTAACTGGTGATGGTGGTGGTGGTGGTGGTGGTGGTGGTGGTGGTGGCTGGAATCCTCACCAGGTGACTGCTATAATGGGGAACTATACCAAATGTGTGTAACAGAGCTGAGTTTAGACAAACGAGTTGTGTGTGTCCGTGTAGAAGCTGCTTTCTTTCAGGACATAAGCGGTTCTTTTACAGGCGTGTCATACACACCTGCCAGGTGTTTACTACGTTACTGCTGAGTCCAGGCAGATCCATGAACGTTCTAAATGTTAGAGAGAGTTGGATCGTTAGCCATTGATATTAACAGCTATTAAGCTCATGAAGCTGGCCGTTATGGATCTTTGCTTTGTTCCCAGCAGCTCCTTTCTGAAAGAACATGAATGACTAATGTAAGCGCCGGCCGGAGAAAATATCAAGAATAAAATCCAAATGTCAAGGCATGCCTTTAATTTTGGATGCAGTGGTCTTTGTGTGTTTTAGCTCGTCCACACAAAAGCAGCTCACTAAAATTAAAATGTCAATGTATTCATGAAAGCCGGCCTGACTTCTCAGCAGAGCTTTAATGTGCGGCGGCAGGTCACCTGTTATCTGTCCTACATTTTAACCACCTGTGATGCTGAAGCCACTGGGCACATCACGTCCCATATTCACCGCAGCCATTAACCAGTTCCCAGCTGGATGGACACCGCTCTGCCCGCGTGGAAGTGTTCATGCATGAGGTCTGAAAGGACAGAATGACAGCGTTTCTTACTCACAGTGAACCATATACGGACTCAGTCACTTTAGGACTGGTTCCTCACGCAGTAGTCCTGATTGTACTTGAGCTGAGGAGCTCCAAGTCCAGCTCAGCTGATAAACACCACGGCTGTGTTCGTTTGGATGAGGTGGACCCGGGTCCAGACCAGGCTGGTCTTGCTTAGCCGGCCCATTCTGTAGTCATCATGACTTGTTTCTATGTCTTCAAACCAATCACAGTAGTCTTGGGTGGAGTTAAGCGAAGGATGCAGCTTCCTTCCTTCAAAGCAGTGACAGGTGGAAGTGTTTGTTAAAAAGCTGGCAGGGCTGCCTTCCTCCGTTTAAATCCTTGGTCAAACTTAACATCTCCTTGGGATAGATTGCTCTGAGGTTGTTGCTCAGTAGCGTTCCAATGTGATGTTAGCATAATGCTAAGTAGCGCTCCAGTGTGATGTTAGCATAATGCTAAGTAGCGCTCCGGTGTGACGTTAGCAGTATGAACTCATCTGATTGGTCGTGACGTGCAGGTGATGTCAGAAGCGTCCTCTGGTGTCGAACACTAATGTGACGTGAACGTCTGCCTGCAGCAGAAATCCTCTGAGCTAATCAGAAAGCGCCTTAACTGCAGCCTGCTAGCAAACACGACAGTTAGGAAAAGCCCGTTTTACTCCTATCCGGCCGTATCAAGATGATTCAGCTGTCGCCTTCTTCACTTTGCAGCTGGTGTGTTTATGAGGAGAACAGGCAGACGAAGCTGAACTTTCCCTCTCAGCGTGAATGTGTCGGAGTTTTACCAACACTCACAGTGGAAGCTGACTTCTTTACACTTCAGCTGGTTTGTGTTTGCTCCTGTTTTAGTCTGACATTGGGTTCTTTTTATTTATTTGAGCTAGAGTGCGTCGTCTCCACTGCGGTTTACAGTCTCTGTTTGTGGTTTTAGTGAGTCCAGGTCTCTGTACTCCCCCACTCTGATTGCAGCTGACAGGCATCCCGTAGACTTTACAGTCCAAGCTTCAGAGCGTCAGCAGAAAGCTACTGGATTCTCTTTTTGGTTGTTCCAGGTTCGTTGCTTTGGTGAGTTTAGCGGTGATCCAGCTAGATTATCGACACCACTTCACTGGGAGGTGAAAGCAGAAGAGCCACCGTCAGAGAAAATCAAATTACCGTTCCAATGGGGGGAAATTAAATGTCCAACTGGTTCAAAGTTTGTAAGATATGAGCGCAAAGGAACGTGTCCAGTCAGGTGCTTTTCCAGTTGCAGAAAACTCAGAACCAACACAAAAACTTTTTTTTTTTTTTGGTTAAAATAAAATAGAGTTAATGAATTAATAGCCATGGCCAAAAAATAAAAAAATCACTTTGAATAACGTTTGGATACATTTTGGATTCATCTCCGTAGATGTAAAACATACTTTAATAAAGACTTTTTGTTGCTTTTTGACAGTTCAGTGCCATTTAGTTTGATTATAAACGTAACATAAACGTATATGAAGCGAATCACGTCCCAGTGAAATAACACAAACGCGTATGAAACGCAAAGTGAAAGCTTAAAGCTCATGTGCCGGCTGAGGGAAGAGGGGCCGAGACAGAAAATGGCATAAAAACGTACGTTTGTCGTATTTGGTCTCCATTGAAGCCACACAGACCCAACAGAGTTTCCGTTTCTCTCATGGACTGCAGAGAAAACATCAACCAGCTCAGTGTTTCCAGGATCATCCTTTCAGAGCACAGCTGGCTGTTATCATCTTCACTTTCTTCTTCAGCTCTTCTTCACACAGATTATTCATCCCTCTCTTCTGTTTCCAGGCACGCCATTCGCCTTCCATGGTCAATCTGCCTTCCATGTTTGAGAGGAGGTACCACACGTTCAGTCATTCCAGCAGCCACCTCATCTGAAGCCCGCTGCCTGTGAGCACCAGCAGGGGGCGCCCTTGTCTCCTGTGCCTCTGCTGCCCCTAACAGTAAGACTTGACCAACAGGTCTGTGTGTATAAAGTCAAAGCTGCCTGTAAAGTACGGCAGACCTGCATCTGTCAGTACCGGAGCCCTGCACGGACTTCCAGATCCAGATAAAACGGCATTTAGCTGCATTTGGAAGGATGCATTGACAGTAGGGTCGTGTGGCGCTATCGGACCTGTCCAGCTACTGTTGGAGCTCATCAGGTGGAAACTGGACCAGCCGCTGGTCATCCTGAAACCTTCCAGGATGTATTTGGCTGGAGCTGATGTGCTGCTGAGAACCTGCGAGGAACAGATTCTCCAACTGACGGGTGGTTCAGTGCATCTTTCCAAACATGCTTGAATTGAGACTGGTACCAAACTGGACGATACTGGACCGTGCTGAGGCTGCAGGTGATTCTAGTAAGGTTTAGCCGTACCTAAAAAAAAATAAATAAATGAAGGATGCTGTGTTTGTGCGAAGCTGCTCATTGGTCACCTCGGCAGCTGGTTCTCTTTAATGTCCGTTCCAGTTTGTGTTCTGATCCGTTAACATGTAATCTGTCCCCACATGGATGCTGGTTCTGTTTCCCTGCGCTTTGCTAGAGTAAATTAATGTTTAAATTCAAGGTTGAAGGTTTTTCTCTTTAACAAATGAACCTGGTTGAGCTTTCTGTCTGATGACCTCGTTAGCGGTGACGTTAGCGGTGACGTTAGCGGTGACGTTAGCGCCCTCTGCTCTCACCCAGAAGCCTTTACTGACAGCGGATGTGTTTTATTGTAGACTTCATGTGATATAATTATAGGACTTCTAATTAACCAGCCCTCTTCATGTAACCTTATGGTAGTCTTCAGCTTTTATAAAGCTTATATTTTAACACTTAAGAGATTCTGTTGTGAAGATTAAAAGCAGTTGTGCTCCTCTTGCTGTCTGTTTTAAATGCTTTTACTTTGATCTGTGTGTGTTGAAGGGATGCTGCATCACTGTACATATTTATTCTTGATCAATACATTAATACCTGTTTTGTTTTTTTCTCTGTTGCTATTTAAGTTTGTTCCACTTTTATATGTCGTTCCGTTGATGTTCTTTTCACTGAGCTTCTTTGTCTGTAGTCGTTGTATCTCTATATATTAAATGCACTTAAACATCCACCTGGATATCTGCCGTGTGTTTTACTCAGGTGTGCGTCTTTTAAAATACAATAACTTCATTCACTTATGGGAGGCGCTGATGAAATATTTAGTCATTTGTGTGAAAGTTCTTTTCTTTCCTCTTTAGCTCCTCACATCAGGTTCAGACGCTGGTTCCAGCATGTCGGCTCAGTCCAAACAAAAGTACAGAAAAAGTTCCTCCAGTCATGATGAGGTGTTGATTCCAGTCTTCATGAACCTGGTCCTAATGAAGTCACAGCAGCGCTCATGTTCAGTCTTAGAAATAATCAATAATGAGCCCATGAAGCTGCTTGGTGGGGCCGGGAGGCTGGATTTTGCAAATATTGTTGGAGCTTCACTTGAGTTCGAGGCCCGTCTGATTTGCATAACGCTTTGAAGGGAGCTCATGAATGTTCCTCAGCACTCGTCTGTACTTCTTACTCATTTGATGTAGGAGTTGGTTAAGAAGTTTCTGGCTCCCTCTAGACAAAAAGTGCGTCTCCCCTGTTTTCATTGCCTTCATAAATCAGAGCTGCTGTTTTGAATTCACTTTTGAACCAACAGAATCAGTTGGCTCTTTGAAGAAAGTAAACCCAGTCCAGAAGTACTGGTAAAATGGACAAAACTGGGGAACCAGCAGGTATTTAGCTGAAGGTGAGCTTGTGGCTGCAGCGTTTTACAGTTTAAAGCGTCAGTGTTGTGTTTCAGCTGCACTGGTTTCACTGTGATCCCTGATTGATCAGTGCTCATCACAATCTGTAGCTCTGTTCACACCACAGCAGGAAACCTTGGCTTTCTTTGACCAGCAGTGATTGTACTGGTTAGTATCAGTCAGTTCCCAGTAGCAGCCACTTCGAGGCGTCCCAGTGTAGATGTGGTTCATTTAAAGGAGGTGTTGCATCACGTATGTGGTGACATCTCCTGCTTCAGTCTGCCAAAGTCACGAATAATGAACTGGAAAAGAAATGAGGAATAAAACAGCTTTAATTATGTAGATGCTGCAACAGCAACAGGTTCTACGTGGTGGGACCCTGACGAGTCCCATCCGGCGCCCCACTGGGGCAGTTTGTAAAGTGGCCGGGATGAGAGTCAGCTCTTCGTCTGGACCTGCTGGTGGCGGCTGAGTTGCTGCCCCAGGTGAAGGAGCATCTGTAGGTTTTGTCCATGAGTTAAGAGAAAATGATGCGACGGACGGATTGGTGCAGTGACACCGGCGATGATCAGACAGCCACGGCTGAGCCGGAGGAGGACGTTTCAGTTTAACTGTTGATCTACATTCTGGTCCTCACCTGTGGTCCTGAATTCTGAGTCATGCCCCAAAGAATAAGATACAAGCGGCAGAAATGAGGTTCTTCTGTAGGCCGTCTGGGCTCAGCCTTCAGGCCGCGGTGAGGAGATTGGATGTCCGGAGAGAACTCTGAGTCGCAGCTCCTCCGTGGATAAAGGAGCACAATGAGGTGTTCAGACGTCTGATTAGGAAGGTTTCCAGACCGGGGTAGACCCAGAACTCACTGTGTTGAACAAATATCTCATCTGGCCTGAGAACACTTCCCCAGGAGAGACTGGAAGACGTTGCTGGAGTAGGAGGTCCCTGCTGCCTCCACAGCCTGACTGAATGAGCAGGACCATGGATGTAACCTGATGATCAATCACACGTTATGTAGACGTGCACCAAGGTGATGCTGAGCTCTTTGGTTATTGATGGTTTATTCTCATGAAGGTCTGATTCTCTCCAAGTCTTTCCACAATGGTGCAGCTCAAATGTGTAGAAGTTGTTGAATTTCAAGAAGACGTCTCTAACATCCTGGCAGCACATTTACCATCATGCTGCACCATGTGACTCTAAGTCCAGAAGCATTCATCATCACATCAGTAGAACCTGAGAGAATTTTTTGTTTTGTTTATTACAGTTCTGTGAACATGACCTAAATAACTTCACTGATGCTTTAGCTGAAGGATGCGACCAGAACACAAACGATGAGTAAAGGAGGCTCCTCTGGTACCAGATGTAGCTAGCTTACCTGAGTATTCCAGCTGCAGGTACGTAGCAGTACCAGGATCACATCTCCATCAGCAGCGTGGTGACGTAGGCCAAACACAAAGCTCTTCTCAGTGCGTCCGACTGCACATGCTCAGTAGACCGCACTATGAGTGTAATAGGTGTCATTGTTCATCGAGCTCAGTGATTGGACAGAGAAACAAAACCCTTCCTGGACTTTGACGTTGTAAGTTGTAATTAAAAGACGGAACATTTCTCTGGAGCGGCGCCGCACACCTTTGCCAGACCTTAGCTGCACGTCCTCTTGCCCTCAGCTTAGCTATAATCACATTGGTTACCCCAGAGCCGGCCCGCTTCCTCACACTGAGCCCAGGTGTGTTCTGAATGGCGAGCCTTTAATTTTAACCACATTAGTATTTCATGTCATGGCAGCAGTTGAGAAGAGAGGTGCTCCTGTTTTGTCCTCTTCACATGCAACCTCTTCAAAGCATTAGGAGATAATCTGTGTCTCCTGGATGTGTGGGACGTGCCGGGCTGGAGTGCCATGCAGGCCCGAGGCAAGGCGAGGCTGGGGAATAGCCACGACCAAAAGGCACCTCTTCACGGAGGACACTGGCTCTTTTCATATTTGCCTTTGCCTTCACTTCAAAGTGCTTCTGACTGGCTGTTTAGGGCTGAAACAAAAAAGGGAGCCGGGCTGAAGGAGGAAGCAGGGGGCTGGAGCTGCAGGCGTCAAGCTGCCCAGGTAGAGACAAGGATACAGCATCACGTCGCTAAACGCTGTAATTGAGAAAGATGTCTTTATGCAAATGTCCTGCGCCACGCATGGATATGAGAGAAGTACATTTCCCTCCTCAAACGGATTACACAGAGCAGACACGACTGGAAAGAGGAGCAGGCTGACATTGAAATCCCTGCGTGCAGAGTGAAGGTGTGCAGATTGGACGTGTCGTATATAAAGGAGGTTCTATACTGGGACAGAAGTTTTTGTTTTCAGTCAAAGTTTTACTTATTTCACCACCACCGAGCTCCAAACAGGCAGGAGCGTATGAAACGCCCACTCCCTGGAACGCCAACATGTTTCCTCTCAGAGGCCAAGAGAAGCTGTGGTCTCATTATGTTTAAGCTGTTCACATTTCAGAGTCTGTTACAGCAAAGTGTGTTTATCACTATGAGCCACCAGGACAACACAGCACAGGACACGCTGGTATTATTATTATGGTCTGTGTTAGGAAATACTGCAGCTGGAGAATCTGAGAAAAAAAAAATCTCAATGTTATAAGAATCAAGTTTCAATTATAGGAAAAAATAATAATTTTGTTATTGTTATTATTATTATTATAAATATTTTTAACAAACCAAACTAGTTTTTTTAAATAAACTATTTATTTATTTGTTTAATCATTCATTCATTTATTGAACACAAATGAAGTCGTGCTTTCATGAGGGGAAATCTTGGTTTAATAACATAGATGTCAGTGTTAAGTACTTTCTTACCATCCTTGTTTTTATTTTTATTTTTTACTCTCATACACCTGACAGGCTCATTGTGAATGTATTGTGATGACATTCTGAGGCTCTGTAGGACTCATTCAATTTGTGCGGCACAAGAGATTTTTCCTCTTTTCCAGACGACTTAGTGACTAAGTTCAGCTGCATTTGGCTGCGCTCACATACCGGCTCTGACTCTTGGTTCAGACCTTATATTTTTGGGTTTGTGTCTCTCCGCTGACCCTGTCGCTGCTCTCCTCCTGTGTATTTTTGCTGGACTGTGAGGTGCCAACACTGAATGATGATGACAGGCAGTATGCACAGAGAAGTGAGACGTTACAACGACTCCATGAATCCTGATCTGTTCTGACAGCGACTGCATCGCCACAGATCAGATATGAATCAGCTCCAGACCCATGCAGTGGCCCAGATCTGATATGAAAAATATATATAAATAGATAGATTTGGTTTGTTTATACGACCATGAAACTGTTGGATGTGAGACTCCTGGAGACGATAAATAAATAAATAAGTCAGTTTTGGGGAGACTCCTCATATCAGGTGAACATCATCTTTCTACCTGCTCGGTGTTCTCGAGTCCTTCTGCTGGTGGGATCAACTTTTACTGAGCAGCCCGATGATCTAGCCCACCTGCCAACCTCACCTTGTTGATTCAGATCCTGAGGCCTGTAACATGAAGCTGGGTTTGGGTCAGTGGGGTACCATCGGGTTACACCCTGGGGTTTCAGGACTGCCACAGTGGCTCACTTTGGATCAACGACCACATCATCATCACGATAAAACACGACCTACATCTTGGAAACGCCAACACGGCGTGGGCTCTCTGGCGCCATGTTTGTTGCACTCTTTGGTTCATAGTGTTGAGAATTCATTTAGTTATTTATTTATTTTGGTTGCTGGGCGGTAAGCACCGGCGCCTCATAGCTCTGAATGCTTGGGTCAAATCTCGTCCCTTTGCGTGTTCTCTGCCTTCATGGGTTCTCTCCGGGTTCTCCGGCTTCCTCCCACAGTCCAGAAACATGCTGAGGTTAATTGGTGATTGTAAATTGTCCGTAGGTGTGAATGTGAGTGTGCTTGGTTGTCTGTCTCTAAGTGTAGCCCTGTGATAGACTGGTTACCTGTCCAGGTGAACCTGCCTTCACCCTGAGTCAGCTGGGATAGGCTCCGCCCCCCATGACCCTGGTGAGGATTAAGGTGTGTAGATAACTGATGGATGGATGGATTGGGACGCATATACTGGTATGCTAGTTTTTCAAGTAAGTTGCTGACTGTTGGAGATTTTGGGCCAACAGTTCACTGGATTTCTGCTTTTCACATGCACACATTTTGTCAAGATTAACCACTGGGCTGGCGGCTCATCAGGAAACTTGACCAAGACTAGCTGACTTGAAGGCAGCCCCAGATGACCCACTACCAGCCACTCGTGTACTGAGCACCAACCTTTGGTGCTGAAAAAAGAAGCCAATGCAAAGGTACCAACACCTGTAGT